TATCTTTTAGTTAGTTAGTTATTATTTCTCATTTGTATTTTGGGCTTAGCCCATATTTCTTCTATTATAAATAGAGAACCCTATGTGTGTATTTTACACAAGAGAGATTAATCCAAATATAGTTTTTCACTATATTCAACACCCTATATTCAACTTCAATAGTTGATCAGATAACCACATTTTGTTTCTTAATTCTCAAAGGAATAATATTTTCTCCAATGAAAACATAATATCCTATAGTAGATCATCTTTCCGCAGGAGAACTTTCTCCATCAACATAACGCTTTGGTATTACCTATATCTTAATAAAGTAGAGCTTGTCAATGAGTCTTTTTTATGTATCTTAGGATATGAATGACAACATTCCAATGATCAATACGAGGAGTCTGCACAAATTGTCTCATACCAACTGTGAAAGGGAAATTTAGTCTTGTAATAGTAAGATGAATAAATTTTTTAACCAATCTTCTATGTCTTTCTGAATGAGGGAAAACTTCACCATGCTTTGCATCTAGTTTTTGATTTGGATTCGTAGGACTATCTACTAGTTTATGGTCAATCTTACCTATCTCTTTTAGGATATCTGAAGCATATTTCCTTGTGAGAAATTACTACTTTCTTTGATTATGTTACTATAACACCCAACATATATGGCACTTTTAGGATTCTTCGTTTGAAGATGATTGCATTAGTGTTCTTATAGTGTAATAATTATATCATTGTTGAATATAGTGAAAAACTATATTTGAATTAATCTCCCTTGTGTAAAATACACACATAGGGTTCTCTATTTATAATAGAAGAAATATGGGCTAAGCCCAAAATACAAATGAGAAATAATAACAAACTAACTAAAAGATAAAAGATATAATATTTCTAACAATCATCAACATACATTATTAAGAACACCTTTTTTAGGGAGACTACAAAGAGAGCAACATAATTTACAAAGTCAGATTCCCTTAAAGCGACAAACCCATGGGGTTGCTCTATGTAGATTCTTTTCTCTAGATTGTCTTAAAGAAAAGCATTTCTAATATCCAATTGATAAATGGCTTAATTACCTACTTAGTCCCCATGTTAGGAGGTAATTTTCTGTTTAGTACCCAGTTTTAAAAATGTAGGCATTTGGTACCTATGTTTTGAAATTTGTATCAATTCAATCCTATCCAGTTAACGGCGTTATAATTGATGCGAGAAATTAAGGACGTTAATGATAGCCTGGGTGGAATAGCTATCAAATGTTTGAATGCATCTTCATTAACGTCCTTAATTTCTTGCATCAATTATAACGCCGTTAACTGGATAGGATTGAATTGATACAAATTTCAAAACATAGGTACCAAATGCCTACATTTTTAAAACCGGGTACTAAACAGAAAATTACCTCCTAACATGGGGACTAAGTAGGTAATTAAGCCTTGATAAATTGACTAATGATGAGTGACCGCCATGGCAAGAAAAAGACATACCATAGTTATTTATGTCACTAGAGAGATAGTATCACCATAATTGGGCTATTCATGAGTGTATCGTTCAACCATCTATTGAAGCTTTCAGGTGATCAATTTCACCATTGGGTCCAACTTTAATGCCATAGACCCAACGACAAACAACTGTCCCAAATGGAAGAAGAACTAACTTCCATGTACTCTTTGTTTCAAGAACTTGCATTTTAGAAATCAATGCTTGTCTCTCTCTAGGTTCATCAAGTGCTTTTGTCACATTTTTAGGAATAGTAATAGAAGGTACAAAAGGATCAAAAGAAAAATAAGGAGACAACCTGTGATAGTTGAGAGAATTGTATGTAGGATGTTGATTATGAGTTGAATTAGTACATTTCAGATAAAATGGGCTAACATGAGTCATCATTATTAGGTGTCGTGGTATTGAGTGATGATTTAGTAGAACCTAATGGAGAGGATTCACCTTGGAGCGTTGGACTAGTCATTTGGTTCCTATGTTGGGTGTTAGGAGGAGGTGGAACAAAAGACTCAATTATGACATAGGTAGAATATCTTGGAGAAAACACATCCTTTTATAGAAGGAGGGAAAAAGGGAGTTGGCTAAACAAAAGTGACACTAGCAAACATAAAGTATCTCTTGGTTTGAGGAGAGTAACCTGTGGGAGTCAATCTAAACTCAGACATATCATGTAAATGTTTTGGAGATACAGATGCAAAACAAAACCCAAATGAGCTAGTTCCCATGTAGTATAGGCCTTTGGATTCACACCCTCAGTCAATTAGTCAACCCTTACCATGTTCTTGTATAACAAAAAGTTGAAAATAAGATTGATTTATTATTCTCAATCATTAAAAAATACATTCTGATACTCTGTATTTGTAATAATCTAATTCTCCTAAAAAGGGAAATAGGAAAACTAGGAAAGTAAAATAAAATAAAAGATTATATATCTATTTCCTCTAATTAGGAAAATTCTAAAGATATTATCTCAAATTACAACACTCCCCCTCAAGCTGGATCATACAAGATTGTATGAACCAAGCTTGGAATAGACAAACCCAATTAGAGATAATGTTAATAAACCAAATTGCACACACAAACAAATGTAGCCCAAGAGACTCCTCAGCATCATATGGAGAATAATGGACAACAATGGACAACCGTGAACTTGCACCATGAAACTTCAACTTGGATAGCAATGGACAAGAGAGATTTCCATTAACAATGGATGATGACTTGCAGCAGCAAACTGCAAGAATGGATGAAGGCTTGTAGTGGTGAATCACAACAAACTGCAGGGACTAGATTGCCATCAATAGTGGGGAACAACAACAAAGCTTCAAGAACTTGATTTCCATGAGTAACATGTGGGAGGCCTTCAAAGGCTAACAATAATGAACCTTTAGGGACTTAAGTTCCCTAACAACAACGTACCTTTAGGGACATAACTACCCTAACAACAACGAACCTTCAAGGACTTAACTGTCCTGAACAACAACAAACCTTTAGGGACTTAACTGCCCTGAACACAACAAACCTTCAGGGACTTAACTGTCCTGAATAGCAATAAACCTTCAGGGACTTTAACTGCCTTGAACAGCAACAAACCTGTAGGAACTGAACTTCCCTGCAGTGGCTAACAACAACAATCCTGTAGGGACTTAACCACCCTACAGTGGCTAAAACAACAAAAAACCTGTAGGGTCTACACTACCCTACAGCGACTGAACCTTTTCTTCCCCTCACGATTGAACACACGTCAATGACGTGAAGGTGAAAGAACGGGTGAGAACCGATCCGTACTTGGGGACAAATCTGAAACCCTTAATATCGAACGAGTCAAATCAACGGGTGGTCTCATAGAACAACTCTCAGGGAACTGTTACAACAAGGCATTGGCGGTGTAAGGAGCCTTTCACATGGCAGAAAGAACTGACGCAAGGGTGTCGTGAGTGGACGTTTGTGGTCCTCAAGATTCTGAACATAATGATGGTGGAGACAGGCTTGGCCACAGGTGCTGGTGCATTTGGTGGCACAAGTGGTGGAGATGATGATAAGAAGGACCGCCATTGTATATCAGTGAAACAAAGGGAAGAAGAAACCCATTGGGTGTGGCAGAAAACCCTTCACATTGGTGAAGGCAGAGAGCCCTTCTCAATGGAGAAGAAGATGATGGATGCGGGAGAAGTAGTACTAGGAGCTGGCACATCAACGACATCAACAACGGAGATGAAGCACTGTTGCTCGAGAAACAGAAACGAATTTAGTGAGAAAGGGAGAAACCTAGTGGTGGAGCAGGAAAGGTTCTGGTCATGAAACGTGAGGCGAAACCCCCTACGGCAAAGTTGGAGGATGACGAAAGTGGAAGAGGATGGTGTGAACTTGAGAAGAAGTCGAAGGGTCAAAAGAAGCTCAGGAGAGTGAGGCGTACAAAAAGCTAGTGGCGCGGTGATCTTCTGACCAGGGAAGGGCAACATGTGAACAGTACGTGCCCAAGATCTACCGGAGAGAGGAGGCGCGTGACGGTGCGTTAGGACGAGACAGAGACGGCGACCACCAAGGTTAGGTCGCACTCGAAGAAACGATCCAGATCTGCTATTTACCGGTCAAAATTGCGATGGTGACCGACAGCGGACGGTAGCCGGCGACATACGGAGGCCGGCAGTGGAGAGCGGCGGTGCACAGCGGAGTAAGCAGCGAAGGCAGTGGCCTTTCTTGGGTTCTCTGAAGAAGAGACTTTCGGTCTCATTGATTCAACTGGCAGTCAATAAGAATGCCAAAAGGAGCCAAAATTGATTGGGCATCAACAGATCTAAAGCACAGCTACTGGTCCAAAAGTGAATGGGTTTGAATCCCATTCTAATCATACTCAAACAAACACTGTATTTGGTAATACTGGAAAAAAGGCCAGAATTCTAAGGCAGAACTTGACTAGGGCAATTGGAGCCCATTAAAAACACATGTTAAAGAAGATACTTTTAGGGGCTGCCGACGGACAGCAAAGACAGCGGAAGATTTATTATTCTCAATCATTAAAAAATACATTCTGATACTCTCTATTTGTAATAATCTAATTCTCTTAAAAAGGGAAATAGGGAAAGTAGGAAAGTAAAATAAAATAAAAGATTATATATCTATTTCCTCTAATTAGGAAGATTCTAAAAATATTATCTCAAATTACAACACAAAAGAATAGACATCAATGGTTATTGAACAATTCAATGATTTGTTAGTTGACTTAAAGAAATGAGAAAAGTGAAGCTTGGCCAATTCTTTGAGAGTCAACTATAGATTCATTGGCTAGGATTTTGTGATGAGACTTTTTAGGAAAGGAGAACGACTAAAATAGAAAGGTATTACTAGAAATATATCAAAAGAACTTGTGTCAATTTTCCATGAACATTGGCTTCCTACAAATTGTGAAATGCAAGTTGGTAATAATGGGAGGTGTAGATGATTGTGCTTGGCTACCAAATTTGAACTTGAAATATGTTTGATATTACTTATTAGAAAACTTTGGTTCCACAACCTTAGATTTGAAGACACTAGTTTTTACGTCAGGGAAGTCATGGAGTGAGTTGGAAGTTTCTTGGATATGACCTTTCTTTTACAATATTTACACTGAGGATATCTTCTACTACCGCGTCTTCCTCTAATTCCACAACTTCCAATTACCTATGCCAAAATCGTAGCTACAGATTTAGTGGATTCTTGAAAGTTTCTACCCTTAAGAGCTAGAACATGAAGAAGCCATGTTGTTATACTTTTCTTCTTTGGAACTTGTTGTACAGTTAAGATTTGATCCCTAATATGATTAAAATTCTAGTTCATCAAACCAAGGATCATAACCGTAAAAAATTTGTCTGGCTTCTTGATTTGTTCTAGGGAATCAATTTCTGAAAACACCTTAGTTTTTCAACAAGTTGATCATTAGTGATAAAGGATGTTGTTTCATGGTGTGCCTATTTAACTGATGTTATCATGTGGACAAGGTCATAGACATTAATAAGGTTCCTCTTGAGTTAACTTAAGTATTTAGAAACAAATTTATCTTAATAATTTTAATATCGATTTAAGAACCCAAAGATGCCTTCCATTGAAAACGAATTTAATCCCAAAGATTTATGTGTCAATGTTAATATCTTAGAGAAGATTATGATGAAGCACACGAAAAGGGGAACAAGTAACAAGGAACACAAAGAAGGAACAAGAAACAAGGAACACAAAGAAGTTATTGGTGGTACAAAGTTGAATACCGAAGAACGTGGGAATAAAATAAGGACTAGAAAAGAAAGATCAAGTGGAGAAGACTTAGGAGGATGGAAGAAGGAGACCGCCACTTGAAGATGAAGAGTTCTTCATGTTGATGATTAGCTCCATGGAGAATTGCTGCATGACTCCTAAGAGAAGAAGATAATATTCAAAACTCAAGATCACTCTTACCCAAGGGTCTCAAATGCTCACAAATTTCATATATCATCCGAAGTAAAAATACAGGAAGTAGTGTAGGCTATTTGTATCCTTATTTGTCCAAAAACTGTCCTACATGAGACCTAGACATGTCTCAAATCAATTGCTAATGTCCCTCCCAAAGGCTTCCAAAATTCAAATATAAAAGAGGGAAACTTTAAAATTTGAACTTAGAAATCCAAATCCAGGGTAACCTTCTTGTTGGTTGAAATTCCTTCATGGCTTCCATACCTTGATTCATGCATTCCCTGCCAACTTAAGGCATGTGTTCCTTGCCTTATTCTCCTTGTTTTGCCTAAGAATTAGAGCTTCCAAATTGGGCCTCTAATGTTGCTTGACTTTAAAACTCCATACCCTTTTGTACTTTAAATGCCCATTTATGTTTTTTACTATATAAACCTAATTTGAAAATATATTCTTATCACAAGTCGAAGAAATATGAAACAAGGAAAAAAAGAAACTATTTATGATTGCAAGAGCATTTTTGTTTGTCATGCTTCTATTAATTGTTCTTAAAATATGATCTTGCTCCTTTTCTTGTTCTTCATTTGTTAATTCATCAAATGCTAAATGTCATTTGCAAAGATACTTTCAACAATTTCCAAAACCTTGTGCAAGTTTTGAAAATTGAGGGTTCCCAATATATTGGGTTCCAAAGATTGCCACAATGGTAATGAACAAGATCAATAATAGGGGTGTCAAAGTGTTACGTACCTGAGTACGTAAACTAGCCAAATACAACCTATCACAATCTCTCACACGTAAAAGAACAATAAACGAAAAAAAATGGAAGAATGAATCTCTTTTATTGATGGTAATATCTGAATAAACAAGGGTAAACAATAATTGGGAGCATAACCTACTTCAATTACTTTGAGAGCATAACCTCCCTCACAAGACAATAATGTCTGTTACAAAACTCAATAATCAAAAACATGTCTTTAACCCTAGACTCTAACTTTATTTATACTAATTATTTCCCGCCCATCTCTTATTAAATATTTCTCTAGAATATATTTAATATAAATATCCTTATATTTAATATTTAATATAAATATCCCTATATTTAATATTTAATATAAATATCCCTATATTTAATATTTAATATAAATATCCCTATATTTAATATAAATATCCCTATATTTAATATAAATATCCCTATATTTAATATAAATATCTCTCCGTATAATATCCTAGCATATATCCTTAATTATAAATATCTTATATTGAATATTTCCCTAAATATATATTTATTTACTCTAATTAACTTATACTATATTTATTTACTCTAATTAACTTATACCATATTTATTTACTCTAATTAACTTATACTAAATATTCTCTCTGCTCATATACTTTTCAACCCTTATTATTATCCATACCTTATATCGTAACACAAAGTGAGCCAACCCAGTTCACACAGGTTGACTCAGCACAGGTTGAGCTAAAAATGAGTAAGCTCAAGCCGACTCTCTTTCTGGTGAGCCATAAATTTTTGTAACTCGGCTCGACCCACCACATGATGGTGGGTTAGTGGGTTGATTCACTTAAGAATGTTTTGTTTTTTCAATTTATTTTATATATTAATGATCGTACAATCAGAGCAGACTGTCTCGAGTCATTATATAACATTAGAATCAAAATGTTCGCCTATTTTACCTAATATTATCATCAAGATAGTAAATGAAAATTAAAGTTTCAAGCTACATAACTTGACAAACAAATAAATTAATCATTCAAACTATTCAATCATTATTGAACAACATTCTAGTATTTAAAATGATCAAATTGTAATATTAGATATTAGAAGTAGTAAATAATTGTAATAAAAAACTTGTAAAAAATGGTGAAAAACTAATAAAGGGTTTTTATATTTGGGTTGTGGATCAACTCACCTTCAAATCGGCTTAAACGTATTTAACCTAGGAATTAAGTGAGCCGGGTCCAATTTGATCCACATTTAAACCATGTAAAACGTTTCCAACCAAACCTGGTTTGAACTTGCGGTGAGCCGGGTTGGCTCAAAGGTTGAAACCCATTTTGATATCTCTAATTAATATCTAGTAAAGCGAAATATTTCTAAAGATATTTTCCTATCAAATGATATCATATCTCCCTATTTAATGTTATCTAATCATATCTCTAACAATATCTAATAATCAGAATAGTATGGCTACTTCCATAAGAGTGCCAAGAAAGTTGGATTTGGATTGAGCTTTCCTAGTATTGATATTGGATGAGAATTTTACCTCTATCTTTTACTTGAATTTTGGCATGATACTGGAATTCCCTTCTCCAGTCATCATATGGTAGCTATTGCAGTTTATTGGCATTAATTCAACTTTATTCTAACAAACTTTCCTTTGGCATGTTTTATGTAGTGTGCAGTTTTGTTCATTTTTCAACTTCCAGATGCATCTCCTTTCATATGCATGCAGCTAATTAACTTTACTCTTTAGATAATGCTCAATTATCCCCCTCACCTCGCATGAACAAGGGTTGTGGTTTTATTGTGTTCTTGATTTCCTGGCTAAGAAAAGGTTGTTTGTGTCACTCAGGCACGTATGGCATCTGCAACCACGCTAGTGATCATGATGGATGGTCTGTCTTCGATTTTCCTACAAGTAGCTGAATATAAGGAGTCTAACAAATTTGGATCTTTTATGGCACTTTCTAGCTCCCTTGGCAAGATTTTACTGGAACTTCATAGAGGTATCTATAACATTTGCAGTATCTTATTGAATATATTGTGGCTTACAGACATCTGTTTTATGCTTTTGATTTTTTTCTTGTCTCTTCATTATTTATTTACATATTTTACATAATTTTACACTTTTTGTCTCTTTTCTATTGATGTGTAGGTCTTCTTTACCTAATAGAGCATGAAGCTCATACTAAATTGCTGGCTTTGTTATTCAGGATTATCAAGCTTTTGATATCATCTACACCGTATGTTTCTTTGCTTCTCATATTATTCTATTTGTTCAATTTAAATATAATTGAAATGGTACGTTTTTCGTTGTTTTTCTTTTACTCATAAATATGTAAAATATTCTTTTGGTTTTGGTTATTGGTTCTCTTATACTTTCATGATCGGAGCCAAAAAAGATATTTTTAGATAATTGTAAAGGGGGACTTGAGATAGAATTATGGAAAAACTTAAGAGCTTGTTTCATCTCTTAGCTCATACATTCATATATAGGAGTTCCTCCATCTAATGTTTAGAAAAGCAATGATTAATCCTACTGTATAGAGCAGATAGGAAACTATGCATAAGTTAACTAGTTGCACAATTCTGACACATGCTTGAGCTTGAGTAAATAGATTGTATGTACGAAACTTGAAACATATAAACTGAATTCAAGGTCCTCTTCCGGACTTAATCGAAATCAATTTCTTCTACTATTAATTTTTGGTTTTGGTCCATTGGACCATGCACATGTCTACCATCAATCTTACCTATTTCTTGTAGGATGTCTAAGGCATATTTTTTGAGGATTTAAAATACATTCATTTCATTGAGCTATGTCAATACTTCAAAAGTAGTTAAGTAAGATCATTGGTTTGAAAGTGATTGCATAAATGCTTTTTTTAATGGGAAATTGTAATGACGTCATTACCTTTGATGATTATATTTTCAACATACACAATTTAGTATACAAATCAAATGATCAACTTCACTATGTTTTAGCCCAAAAGTTTGTACTATTTGGATGATTTCCAAACCAGGACACTTTATACACTAACCCACGGTCCCCTTGGACAAGAAACCTAAGAGGTTGCTTTGTGTAGATTTTCTTTTCTAGATCTCCATGAAGAAATACATTCTTGATATCCAACTGATGGAGAGCCAATGGCAAATAGTAGCGATGACAAAGAAAAGTCTAACTATGGGAATCTTGGTTACACTAAGGAAATGTCACCAAGTTGAGACCATATATCTACGTGTACCTTTTGGTAACTAGTCTTGCTTCATAGTGAGTCTGGATTTGACAATTTACTATTTGCAGAGACAAGTAAGCAAAGAAAGTGTGAAAAATGAAACAAATAATGGGTGATAGACTTTCTACCATGAAACAAGAAGATTGGCTATTAAAGTATATAAAATAATCATAAATCTTCCCTTTGCCAAACCAATTATATGTAAACAATAATAAAATGTTTATTAACATAATCAATTACATAAACTCTTAATCGATTATGTTAATAAATGTTTTGTTGTTAATTACTTTTTAAATTATAAATGAGTAACTTTTAATAATTATATTGGTGACACATTTTTATATGGATAAATAGTTGGTTTAGTAAAACAATTAGTGACATATTTTGTTTTAGTACAACAAAAAAAAAAAATTTACACCCTTGTACAATTTTTTTTTTTGTGAATTTGCTTGAACTCCATAAAATAATTTATGTTTGGTCTTTAGTAATTATCACGTGAGTTTATTAAAGGAAAAATTAACGTTAATATGCAATTATCCTTAAAGGAATCACTGAGGATTTTAAATTTACAAAGCAAAAAACCAAGGACAATAGTAGTGATACCAATTTTTTAGACGAGAATATGCTAGGAAGATACATTTGAGAGCTCTTGTAGATAACTAGTCTGTAGGGAACATGTCATGAATAAAACATATACACTACAAAGCATGGGGAGACACATGAAACAGGTTTATTAGAAAATAGGATAGAAAGGAAATGTTATTGTCAGAGGGAGGAAGAGAAAATCCTGTTTATGTGGAAGCAAGCCATAAGAATGTCACCTCGGTGGTGAATAGACACATCTGCATCAAGAAATAAGGTACAAAGTAGTCTAAACAAAGTGTCAATCTTTTTTCTTTGTTATACCATTTTGCTAAGGTGTATGAGAACATGTTGATTTTTGTAAAATGCCATGTGAACTTAAAATAGTAGAAAAGCTAAAAGAAAAATATTCTTTGGCATTATCACTCCTAAAAATGCTGATAACTGGGCTAAACTAATTTTTTGTTTAGTTAAGTAAGGCCTAGATAGACAATATTTTAGATCAATCTTTTTGTTAAAAAATCCCAAGTTCAACGAGAATATTCAACAATAAATGTGACAATATCGAAAGTAAAAATGGTTACTTGGCTTGGCCCCAATTTTCAAAATGAATTATGCACATGGGAAAGTTACATCTTGCAACAAGTCTCCATACAAAGGAAGATCTAACTTGTTTACTTAGTTGGCATGTTTCACACTATAACCTGGGGTTTTTTTGAGATTAGGTACCATTTTTTAAATTTTGGTAAGCTTAGATGACTTAAGTGACCATGCAAAATTTTGGAGGAGGCGATGCAAAAGAGGGCATAAAAGATTTGGTTTGAAGACAATAGAGTCCTTTAGTTTTTTTTGTCTCACCAATCAATTGACTTGTGCCCTTCTCCAACATATAACAAAAGAATTGGCATTAAAGATTAGTGAACAATTTAATCACATAGTTAGATGAGTTAGAGAAATGAGGTTAAAAGGACAAATGGGACAAGAAGAAAAAAATTGAGTCAAGGAAGAAGCAAAGGAGACTTGTCCAACTCCTTGGGAAGCAACTTTGGACCCATTGATTAAGTAATTGTTGTAATTAGAGGAAAATCTTCCTAATTAGAAAAAATATCTATAGAATCTTCTAGTTTATTTTTCGGTATATTTTTTCATTATCTCCTTTTCTTGAAAGATTAGATTGTTACAAATAAGTGCAAGGAGAATGTAAAATACCTTAATGATAATAATAAAAATCATTCTCTTTTCAAGATGGTATTAGAAATCTTGATATTGGGAGCTCCGTTTCAGTTGCAACAGTAGCAACTGTAGCCGCTGTTCGGCCATTGCGGCTGCCGTCATAGCCATTGGGGTCATTGATAAGGTAGAAAGATGTGTCCAACTCCGACGAACACAATGCCAAAAATCGTTCTTGGAAAGACGTCGACACGCGCCACCACCGTCGCTAGTGAGATCCACTCACTGTCGTCATCACAAAAAGGGTTGTCAGAGCCTCTTGAGTCCGTTTCACGGGTCGGTGACGTCCATTTGGCCCAAATTTGAGTAGATGAGTTTTGATTTCTGCTCCTTTTTCCTGGTGTAGCCCACATGTCGTCATCGTGTGGGATAGGGTCACCAGAGACACCTGATTGCATTCCATGGGATGTCTAATATAAAAGTTATTCCTTTGGGTCCTAATGATCTTCCAAATATGGTGGGTGCCTATCGGTTGGATGGTTAGAATTTCTTACAATGGAGCCTATACATTCGATGGATTCTCAAGGGATGTTCAAGACTAGATCACATAGATGGAGGAGGTGTAGGACTAGACGACACTAATTTTTCAATTTGGGACAATAAAGATTCACTAATTATGACTTTGATGTGACATTCCATGATTCCTTAGATAAGTCAAAATTATATGTTTCACTCTTTTGCCAAAGAGTTATGGGATGATTTACAAAGTACTTTTTTATTAAAAAAGGATTTTGCCGCATGCTATGACATTGAAAGCAAAATATTTAATACAAAATCAGGCTCGCTTTCTGTATCAGAATAACACGGAATCCTGAATGGACTTTGGATTGAATTGGATCAATACCAAACAATAACGTTGGAAGTCCTACATCAAGTAGAGATAGCGACAATTCATAGTATATAAGTGGGTGCAAACCTCACCTTACAAGCCAGTTTTATGGAGTTGAGTTAGGCTTAAAGTCCACTTCTTAAGAAATAAAGATGTGTAAAACATATACTGCCGCACATGTTGGAGCTATGGAAAGAGGAAGAATCTTTAAATTTCTCTGTGGCCTGAATCATGAGTACGACCCAATCTGGATACAAATCATAGGAAGAGAAAAATTACCATCGCTATCAGAAGCATTTTTTTATGGTAAGAGAACTGAATAATTATTATAATACGCATGAATACTCAAAACAAAACAAAACCTTAATGAAATTCATTATAGATAAATAAGCCACAACTTATAGAAACTGGTCCTCAATCTATGAGCAATTACGAATGTAATAATCTAGTAAAAAATGTTAGATTTTGTTAAAATTAACAGAAAAGAAGACATTAAATAAAAATATTAGAAGAATATGAATTAGAAAGTATAAAGGAAGGAAAGGAACAGAATCCGAGGAAGAAGATTGATGCCCAACTTTGTAGCATCTTCAAATTCATTCTTATGGCTTGTTTGATAGGAGGAGTGGAAACAAAGGCAACAAATTCAATTGGATTTGTTTTCTAGGAAAAAAATGGGAAGGGGGAATGAAGTAGTTAATGGGTCTGACTACTACTTTTCTACAATATTTCTCCCTTATTTCTTCTAATCTCTCTATGTTTCACCTCATCTCTATTGAAACTTAAGAGAAATGCAATCCTTTCTTAGTGAAAATACAAAATTCCGAAAAACCTATCATTGTTGGGTATCAGAGAGGGTCAATCTCACTTTGTCAATGCCAGATCAGTTCACCAGTGACTGCCATAGTCTACCTTGTTCTTTCCATTGAGCACCTAGTTGTCTTATCAAGTGATGCAAAACCCTATAGTCACCATCATCATCTGCCATCGAATGACATGTAGACCCCAATAGATTTTTCGATACTGATATGAAGTAGCCGTCAAAGCAATAAATGAAACCACTGGTCATGCCAGCACAACATCTTTGTGCCACCAACCTAGGTGGGTGCAGTCCATGCACCAAAATGATAACATGTTGCCTCTATCGATCTCATCGGCCTCTCTTCTCCTAATTCCAACCTCCTTTTCTGCCTTTCCCACTGATTGGAGTTTGAATTCAAACACATTAAAAGTTCCACTTTTACTCATGTTCTCTCTGTTGTACATTGGTTCTCTCTATTTTTTGTTTGCAGTTATATCTGGACCTGTTCACTCAATTTCTAGGCCACCCACAACTACTTCAAAGAACCTCAATGGGAAAAATTATTTGTCTTGGTCTGCTTGGGTTGAACTGTAGTTTCCTATTATTATGGTGAATCTTCTGTCACAAGAATTATTTGCCTTTACTCAACTTCTAGGTCACCCAAAACTATTGAATCATCTGTCACAGTATCTACTAGCTAAGAGGAGCTAGTGGAAATAGAGTACAAAATGGTTGCAAATGTCCTCAATGCACTTTTTGTAAGAGGAGGGATTACGCTAAAGAAAACTACTTCTATATACATGGCTTCACAGATAAGACAGCCAATGTCTCCAAACTTGAAAGGGTAAAACCACAGTTTTCGAGTGAATGCCAGGAATATTTGTGATTACAGCCCAGCAATCAGGCACAAGCTTCCAACCAATGTGGTTTGTCAAAACCTTGCATCTCCTAAAGCAAGGTAGGTCAAAGCCCATGGATAATTGATTCCTATACTTTAGATCATATTTCTAGTAAAACCTTCTGATTCCATCTCTTCTCCTAGAGTTGGCTTCAACGTGATTCTATTTAAGATTAATAACTACGGTTTATAGTGTGCATAAAACACAGTCATTCTTGTCCTAAGTTGTAGTGTAAAGTTGAGAAAATGTTGGAAGAAATTTATAACGAGGATACATTTTTTTATAGCTGCTTTTGGTGCTATTTTTTAATTAGACTATTTTCTCGTTGAAAGAAACATTTTCATTATATTTGATAAAATTACTAATTAGGAACCACACAAATTCTTTATATAAAAATAATAGTTTAATCTAGTATAATCTCTTTGCTCAGAAGTAACCAGAGCAAACATTAAATTATTCATATGTGGACATGGTTCTCTCACACTAACAAATCCTTTTATTTCTCCACAAAATCCTTTCAAAGCCATTCTTAGAAAATCACCTACTTTCTCAAGTATTTTTAAAATTGTATTATTTTTGTATAATAGAAATGGGGATACATATGCGTGTGAGTATTTGTGTTTCTTGTAGATAGAATAAAACAATTAATTCAAGATAATGATATTTATCAATTGGACTGTAGGCTAAATATTTAATTGCGTAAATTGCACTAACACCATTTATGCTTCTTGATTCTTTAATGCAGATTAGGTGTTTTATTTCCTTCTCTGCTTCCTAATGTAAAATAAGTATGTCTACTGAAATCATTGTTTTGACAGATATTCAAGAATGCCACCAAATTTGTTGCCACTTGTTGTTACATCTATTAGGACAAGGATTGAAGAAGGATTTTGGTTGAAAAGTGAACGAAGTGGTCTGCTGGTTAGTTGTCCGATTAATTGTCCAAAGTTTATTTTGTCCTTCCCTAACATTGACTTTTGTTGGCAGGCTGCTGCTATTGGTTGCTTGACGTTAGCTTTGTCTACCTCGCCATCTTCTGCTCAAATAAGGAATCTGCTCTGTGACGAGGTTTCTTCAGGTGACTTCTGCTATTATTGATAATGAAAGCACACCTATAAGTTATTACTTAAAATTAATGAAAGTCTAAAACTTTAACATCTATTTTTTCATAATTCATGGTTCTAAACTCTGATTTTATTTTATCTGCGTTCACTCAATAGTACTAACAAATATTTAATTCCAAAATCTCAAAATGAAAAAAATAATAATACAATGGTAATAATAAAATTATTGTTATTATTATTTGTATTTATTTAGTTATTTTCTTGATGACCTAAAGCTATCTTTTTAGCTGAATAGGCTTTCAAATAGGCCCTCGCCAGAGAAACTTAGTAAGTTGGCCCTGTAACTTTTTTTTCTTCTGTCTGATGTACTTGTCTGAATCGCTTCACTAATGAGAACAAAAACAATTATGATAAGTCTTTATCTAATTCCCTTGGGATTGCTTCTTGTCCATTTAGATTAAGTTAAAACTTGAACTGCATTCCTGACTGACAGTGCAGGACCTGCATTTAGTTTCAAAAGTAAATTCTCATTTTGTGTGCCAAATTAAGTTAGACTAAGGATGATTAATCCTACTTATTCATTGGAAGGCCTGAAAAAGGATGTAATCATTTTCTAATAAAAATAATATTTATTTTGTGCCAAGTGCATGGTTTACAGTCTAGAGTTGGTAGAGTCTTAGGGAGTTGAACCTGTGTGAGACAATAAGTCACCAACTGATTGACAGGATTGATTTACGTTAATTCATGTTTAGGCACAAGACATTACTGGTTGGATTTTGCACATTTCTTTTTCAGGTTACTGCTTTATTGGTTTGGCCTTATTTTTTCATTTGTTGGCTTTCCTTCAGGTCAGATTGAGACTGAAAAGAAGTCTGGTGTTCTTTCTACCTTATTTGAATATTCGACACAATCGAGTTGCCTAACCATTTGCCTTGAAGCCCTGCAGGTAATCCTTTTGGTGTACATTGGTTAACTGTTTATTTGTTTGCACCTATAAATGGGGATGATGATGTATATGGTTCCTGGAATATGATTTTTGTTGAGCTTTTTATTGGCATCTTGACAATGCTGACATCTAAAGCACACTAATCATTTGTTATCACATGAAAAATTTATTAAAAAAAAAACATGGGGGCTGAACCAAACCTATGTACAAAAATACAATGCAAACATCCTACCAAAGAACTAAAAAACTCTAAGGACCTGTTCGCATGAGTTGATTTGTGAGGATGAATTGTAGTGAGGAGGGAATTTACGAGTAACTGTCATGTTCGCATGTAGCGATTTCAGTGGATGTCTGATAGCGGATTTGCATGATGACATGAAAATGCAATCTTCTCATGGGAGAGGGGATTTGAGGGTGAAAGTTATAGTTAGCATTGGTGTAAAACCTCATGTATTCTGTTCTTTTCTATAAAATCACTGTTCCATTATCGTTTAGTGGCATATAGGTGCATTACGTCTGTACCGTGCATAAATTGACTGATAAAACTTGCAGTAAATTCACATCTACTATTTCCTCTATGACTACATGAAAATTATTGGCTTACCCTACCTTGCGAAAATCTCCACATAATGGGTAAAAAACAGCAGCCAGTAAGAAATTTAACATCCATTTTTTGGCTATACTGGTCTGAATTATAGGAATAACCAGAACTAATAGAATGAAATTCTTTTGAAAAAAATCTGTACAAAAGTGAAATGAGGAAATAAATTTATCATACTACAACAACTATACAAACAAATACTGAGGTAATAAAATGGTATCATGTGCTCCAACATATAGTTTGTGATTGTATTAAAATATTGTTACTGTTGTCAGCTTTGTGTAGTAGTTTTTTTTTCTGCCAAAGTTTACTGAAATTTGATGACTTAATGCAAAATGAAAATTAAGGGAAGTATTGGTGTTAGCTTGAATATGCTTGATCTTGAAAGATAAATTGTATCTTGCCTTCGTTATTTTGTCATGGATAGTTAAATAGATGTTTTAAAGCAGTGGTTATTGATGGACATGTATTTTTCTATTGATGTTTACATAATAATTTGTTGCATGTATCTATGCTAGTTTATTGATATATTCAGATTAACTTTCTACAGGGACTTAAAGCTGCATTCCACAATTATCCTAACATAGTGACTGCGTGTTGGGAACAAATTTCTGCTATTGTGTATCACCTCATTAGCACTATGAGTTTTGAAACCCCTTCCAGGCAATCAAGTGAACTTGTTGGTAGCCCTACTACATTTATTAATGAAAAAGTTACTATCGCTGCTATTAAGGTAGCAACTTTGCTTTTCTTCTGAACTAGTGTCTTAATCTCATTTCTTTTAGATTAATTGGTGTATAATGAATAGACAATTCGAGTTTGAAAATGTGTGTTGTATGCATTGAAGTTAATTGGTATCTTTGCTTTCCTTTCTACCATAAAGATGTAGGGTTTGTTTGAATAAGTTTCTCCATAAACACTTCTGCGAAAAGAAATTAAGTAAAAATGAATGAAGTTTTTTATAAGCTACAAGTAGCTTATGCATAAACTAACTAGTAGAAGCTCTCTTATTTAACTTATCCAAGTTTAGATTTTTCACTTATGCATAAACTATTTTTTGTTTATTAGGAAATAGATTTCACTTTTTTCTTCTTATATTATTCTTGTATAAGGGCTTATGGAGAAATTTAAACAAACAAACCTTGTGTTCGTTCTATGGTCTGTTGTATTCGTTCTATTGTTCTGTTGGTCTGTTTGATTTACCTAAAAATAATGGACTAGACAACATTAAATTGTTCATTGTTTGATTTTAAAAGTGCTTATGGAGCAGCACAAAACAAGGGATAAAGTGTTGGACCAAAAAAATTCACGTAATTGACCTAGGAATAACCTTTTTGGTGTTGCACATCAGAAAATAAAAGAGGCCAATCTACTCCCTCACTCTCCTAAATATAGTCAATAGATGTAGACCAACTTAGTAAGGTGCAACTGATTTTTGGAAACAATGTCATCTAATTTGGCTATGGTATGGTAACTTTTACAAGCAGGGCTAATATTTTCATAGTGGGTATAATAGTTGAGGCAGCTGGGTGGAAATAATGGTAAGAATGTTAATTGAGTTTACGTTTGTGAAAATAGTGAAAACTAGGTGTTGTTTGTTGGATATTAAATGCAATATTAAACGTTGTTGGTAGGATATTAAATGTATTACTAGAAGTTGTTAGAAGATTGGTTTAATACCCAATTTTGTCCCCACTTTGGTTCGGAAATCTCAAGTTAGTCCCTTTATAGAAATGTGAGTGCAATGGATCCTTACTTGTAATTATTTGAGTCTAATGAGTCCCTTCCGTTAAATAGAAGGAAACGGAGTTAGTGGGCTGATGATGTGGCAGTAGTCATTGGTGAGGTGTCAAAACGCAATTAAAAGTTTATAAAAATGACAAAAGAAGAGTGCATGTCAGATGTTGTGGGGCAAAAGGGAAATGTCCTTGGACTGTGCTGCAAATCCTCCTCCCTCCGAAGACTGAACGCAAGATCCGAGCTGAAGATGGTATTGATAAGCTTCATGGGACCAGCATAGGACGAACCAGGAAAAGAGGCATACGCAATTCCCTTCTTCTTATCCGAATCCGAAGGCATTGAATCCTGAGCATCCTTCCACCACCTGAAACACACGGAATCAACCACCGACGCTCTTCACACATTCAATCTCAATCAAACAATGCAGACAGGCTCGGATCACAGCAAAATTCGTACGAGGCACAACAAAATCAACAAGCTTGCCAATTTGATTATTTGAGGAAAAACATTAAAAATACATAAAACCGATAAAATGGAATTCCGCTTCGCCTCGATCGGCCCAACCCTAAACGTCCGTTGCTTTGGATTACGGAGATTCACAGTGAGGAAATGCACTCACAGATTTAGGGAAAGTTAAATAAGGCGCTAATTGAATTGAAGTGAGAAATGAGTGGAATCTTGAAAGGGGAGACCTGTGAGGAACGAAATAGACTCGCTGGTCCTTGTGTGAGTGTGGTCGCTGAGAGTTATCGGAGCTATCTTCGGAGGCACAGTCCATTGCAGAGAGAGATTTAGAATTCGCTTCTAAATTGTGCAGATTATTTATAAAGCCAGAGAAAGCAGAAAATGAGAGAATTGCAGAGAAAGAAGTAACTCGCCAACTGCGAACCACCACTGCTCCGTCTTCCCGCGATCACTGCCTCTGTATTCTTTCCCACACACGAACATGCCCTAATCTAGAACAAATCACCCCCAAATCATTTTATCCCCAATTTCTAAGAAAACCCAATTTCAAAATCACGTACCCTAACACCAGGTAAGCACGCACACAACTGCGTCTTGACACCTCACCAATGACTACTGCCACATCATCAGCCCACTAACTCCGTTTCCTTCTATTTAACGAAAGGGACTCATTAGAATCAAATAAATAAAAGTAAGGATCCATTAAACTAACATTTCTAAAAAGGGACTAACTTGAGATTTCCGAACCAAAGTGGGGACAAAATTGGGTATTAAACCTAGAAGATTCTAGAGATCTCTTGTAATTATTACTTTAGGATTTGAGTTCTTTATATTAGGAGTTGATGTACCGATTCAAATCAATTAACAAAAATAAGAATCTTCTTTCTTTCAAATTAATCCTTTCAAGTCTAGGTATAGGATTAATTTCCTTTGTGTACAAAATACATATAGGGTAATTTATTTCCGATGAAGAATAATACAGGAAAGTACACTTAGAAAATACACATAACATTGTAACTAACAAGATATTATAACTAATAATATCTTAACAATATCTAACACTCCCCCTCAAGCTATCCCATACAAATCATATGTACCAAACTTGTTATAAATATATTCAATTCTAGGTTTCCATGAAGACTTGTGAAAATTTTTGCTAACTGATTACTTAAAAAAATTCAATCTTAATGTGTCCAAATACAATTTTTTCTCGAATAAAATGATAGTCAACCTCAATATGCTTGGCCCTTTCATGAAATACATGATTAGAACTAATTTGAAGAGCAACCAAATTGATTGTCAAATATAAATCTCATGTTAGTGACATCTTCAAATTCCAAGTTTACTGAAGCTATAGCTCTATATTATGCTTTTGCACTATATCCTGCCATACTTTGTTTCTTGCTCTTCCAAGAAAGAAAGTTACCTTCACTCGAAACGCAATATTCAGAAGTAGATTTTCTGTTTGAAAATCTTGCTTAGTCAACATCTAATTAACAAACAACTTTAGTATGGTTATTGTGACCATATAACAAATCTTTTCAAAGAGATTCTTTAATGTACTTTAATATAATGATCTGTACATGAGGAATTGAGAAATTGGTTCATCACACTAATTGTAAAGGAAATGTCTGGATGAGTAATAGTAAGATAGTTCAATTTTTCAACTAATCGTATGTACTTTTGAGGATCTAAGAAAGGCTCCCCTAGGTAGGATTTTGGTATTGGGATCCATGGTGTGTCAACAAATTTTGAGTTCATTAACGCATTTTTCTCCAAAATATCCAATGCATACTTTCTTTGAGATATAACAAAACCGTTGTTGGGTTGTGCTACCTTAATCCCCAATAAATATCTGAGTTTGCCAAGATCTTTGGTCTACAAGTGGTGAAAAAGGTGTTATTTCATCTAGGAGATGGCATGGGGATCACTGCTTGTAGGATCAATATCATCAACATATACTATCAAATAGATACACTCTGCACTTGAGTGACGATAAATTACTGAATGACATGCCTCATTACAAGTCATTCCAAACTGCTGAACTAAATTGCTAAATTTTCCAAACTAAGCCTTAGGAGATTGTTTCAAGCCATATAAAGATTTGTAGAGACAATATACCAATTAAAAGACTCCCCTTGAGCAACAAAGTTTGGAGGTTACTCCATATAAATTTCTTCTTATAAATCTCCGTTAAGATAAGCTTTTATGGCATCTAGTTGGTAAAGAGTTCATTGTTGAAGAACAACCATGGCTATAAATAAGCGAGTAGAAGCCATCTTTGCCACTTGAGGAAAAGTATCACCATAATCCAAACTAAAAATTTGTGTGTAGCCTTTAGTCACAAGCCAAGCTTTGAGATGATCAACAGTACCATCAAGACCAACTTTGATAGAAAAGACCCACCTACAACTAACAACGAATTTCCCATATGGTAAAGGGACAAGCTCACAAATTCCACTATTCTAAAGAGCACTAAGTTCATTAAGCATTGAATTAACATAGTAAAAATATTTATATGTGTTAGTGGTATCTATCCTATGTACATTAATGGACATTTCTTTCCGTTTGAAAGTAAGATAGGTTTGTCCTTTTCACCTAAAATGTAATTCTCTCAAATTTGACGTGTATCTTATTTGGCTGTGGGCACAAACATGCTTTTGATGTGATTTTATATATAATTTTTTGTCTCTTTTGTTTTGAGTTTAAAAAGCTTTATTAATACCATTATATTTGTGTCACATGTGTCTCGTAGTAGCACTTTTATATTTCTTTCATTGGCACAAAGTGTCAAATTTCCTTCTTTTTACCATTTTATTTCTCAAGTTTAGAAGAAAATAATTTCTCTCTCATATAGTCTCATTACATACATCGGATATATATATATATATATATATATATATGTATGTATGTATGTATGTATATGTATGTATGTATATGTACAAATATGTGCCTATACATTGATTGGATAATTTATGAAACAAGCACATCTTATTCTACGAAAAATATCCCTGAGATTGTAGGATTGATATACTAGAAACAAAACCAAGATACAACCAACATACAAAATTAAAACCAATAGGAATAAAATCTGGAACTTTCTAAAATATCTTGTCAAAATAAAATCTTAAACTTTCTAAAGTATCTCAACATTATTAATATTCAACACATAGATGCAACTCTTTGAACACTAATAAATTTCTCTTTCCAATGTTGTTTGTTCCATTTCAAATTAAAACGAGTTTGTCTTGTTTACCCAAATTCAAAGTTTCTCAATTTGATGTGTTTCTCATTCATTGTTGTGAGCACGAATTTGCTTCCAATATGTTTTTGTATACTTTTTATTTTTTATTGAGTTTAGGATATTTTGTTAACACTATTACTATTTCTTGTATCGAATTTCATATATATTTTATTTTGAAAAAACTTTGATGCAATTCCTTTTGTGTTTTGGTGCCCTTCGCCAATTTGGATTGATGTTTTGCCTTGATGAGCTATGGTCACCTTTAATACAGACCTTTGTTATACAATTAGGTAAAAATCTAATTCTGATTAGAGAACAGAAAAAGCATCTAAGGAACTATCTAAACTTTTTGACCTTTTTATTTTAAATATTATTCACTTGAATTGGCTAGTGATGTCATTTTTGGGATATGATTTCTTGCATCTATTAATTTTAGAATTTATTTTTGATATTTTAAGGTTCTAGATGAGGCTCTTCGGGCAATATCTGGATTTCAAGGAACAGAAGATCTTTCAGATGATAAATTAATGGATATTCCTTTTGCATATGATTGCATTAGGACGAAGAAAGTATCATCCGCTCCGTCGTATGATGTGGAGGGAAAAAATGATTTTATAGTAAACTTTGAAGCTTGTGATTCTGGAATTCAGCAATGGTGTGAGGCAATTGAGAAGCATATGCCTCTTATCTTGTGTCACTCTTCAGCAATGGTGAGATTTTTTTATATCATGTCATAGTTTTGTATTTTTTATACTAAATAATCGAGTCATGTGTGCTAACTTGAATCAGTTGTTCATATATGTTGAATATTTTCATTTTTTAAATTAGCTTAACAGAATGAGATCGTATTAGTAGTTTCATGCACAAATTGGCTACATACAAAGTCAGCTATTGCTTAACAGAAACAAAAAAGCAGAATAAAAGTAGAGAGAAGCATACCACTGGTATAGTTTATCAGCAAAAATAGACCTTAGTTCGGGACCTATTAGAGATAGACTAACCTTTAAATTTCTATTTACCAAGCACAAAATTAATTGTCTTCCTTGCTACACATCTGCTACTTTACTAAAGATACCTCGTTCATAATTCTTATCTATTCAGATATGTAACCAACAGTTCCAGAGGTCAGTGGCTCCATAGTCTAGTCTTTAATAGTGAGAAAAAGGTGTATTTAAAGCATTAAGACTGAGAGAAAATGAAAACTTACCAGAATATGTCAGAGAGCACACACTTGTGAGCTGGACATTCTTCAATTCTTTAGCAGGTTGGGATATGTCCCCTTTTCCATTCAATAATTCACGATCTCAGCCTTATAGGTGGATTATGCACCAATAAAGGCTGCAATAAGGATCAAAGTGGCACAGTAATGAAGGCTGCAATATGTTCAAGGGGGTGCAACAATGAAGATTGCATTTAGGGTTGATAGACATGGTCAAAGACTTAATAAGTGGGTTTATGACCTATTCATCTTCACAAAACCAACTTGTATTGAGGATTACACTCTACATATATATTATAACCTGACCTTATTCTTGGGTGATATGAAATTTCCAACACCCGTTAAAGTCTAGTCCCACGCACGAGATATATATGTCTTGGTGTGAGAGCTGTGCATTGGAAGTCCCATGTTGACTACAAATAAGACCAATTAACAATGTATATGTGGGTGCAAATCTCACTTTACAAGTCGATTTGGTAATGTTGAGTTAGGGTTGAAACCCTCTTCTTAACGTGGTACAAGAGCCATGAGTTAGAGTCTATCCTAGCAAAATTTGTTGTTTGTTGGGTCTATTGTTCCATTCTCTACTAGGCCTTTATCGAACCACCCATTAATGTTTAGTCTCACGCATGAGTTATATATGCCTTGACGTGAGCGGGGTGTGTTGGAAGTCTCACATTTACTAGAGATAGGGCTTATTCTTAACATGACATCAAAACCATGAGATAAACATATCTTAGCGAAATTTGTTGTTTGTTGGGTCTATTGTTCCAATTGTAATCGAGCCACTATCGGAACACTATTAATGTTTAGTCCCACATCGACTAGAGAGGTCAATTCAAAATATATAAGTGGGTGCAAACCTTACCTTACAAACTGGTTTTATAAGGTTGAGTTAGGTTGAAAATCCACTGGTTAACAAAAGTACTTCAGTTTGTTGGTTATTTTAGGAAATATAGAGAACTTTTTCTAAGAAATCAAATCCCTATAGCTGGATAAAAAGAAATAACTTCCCAAAATTAAAGGATTTGGCTTAGGAGATTATTTGATAGATTTGCTCTAGATTTAAAGTGTTTTTATCTAGAGATTTGTTTCCTTTATTTCAAGAGATTTATTTCCTTTGTTTCACGAGATTTATTTTCTTTTATTAGGATTTTTTTTCCTTTAAATACGAATGTGTCGTTTCTTTTTTAGATCAAGAAAAGTAATTCCATAAGTAATGCTTACTTCCTACACATTTTTTCGAATTGTATTGGAAGCATTCATAGCCTATCCTGGTCAAGTTCTTTAGGGCTATTATGCCACCATCATTTGTCTCCTATTAAACTATCCATAAATATCTAATTTCACAGTTGAGATCTTTATTATTTGGTGCGAAAGGATGTTTTGGAGATTTCAGTCAATGAAGAATAAGATTGAATTGTAATATATAAATGAGGTGAAATCCTCACCTCGTAAGCTGGTTTTGTGAGGTTGAGGTAGGAATAAATCCACTTATTATGAGTATTAGAGCTTTAGGTTTTTTCTAAAGCCCTAGTCTTTGTTTTTACTACTCACAACTACTTACAACCTTTGTTAGAAGTTCCACATTGACTAGTGATAAAGGTCAGTTTAGAATATATAAATGGGTGCAAGCCTCACCTTACAAGTTAGTTTTTTAAGGTTGAGTTAGGTTTAAAGTCCACTTCTTAACATGATATGAGAGCCATGGATTAAACCTCACCTTACATGTGTTTGTTGGCCATATAGTTCTGCCCGCTAACAAGCTGCTACCGGACCCCATATTAATGTCTAGTTCAATGCACAAGATGTATATGCCTCAGCGTGAGGGGGAGTGTGTTGGAAGTCTCACATTGACTAATGATAAGATTAATTTATAGTATATAAGTTGGTGCAAATCTCATCTTACAAGCTAGTTTTGTAAGGTTAAGTTAGGCTTAAAATTCACCTCTTAATAACCTTCATTGCCATTTTATCTTCAAGAGGGTGTAGCCTTAACTTTTACAATTTTGTTGTAAAATCCATTATTGTTGCCTTCTCTTTGTAAAATCACCCATTAGACAGCCAATTGCTGAATTGCATCTATGTGATTTCTAATCCAAAATCATCAGAGGGAGGATTCGGTATTATAAAGATAGAAAGATTGAAAAGCCAACTAGAACACTAGAGAAACCCTCTCAATTGTACTCTCTTGCTCTCTTAGGTGACGTTTCTTGTATGAGTGTCTCACATAGTGCTAACTCTTGGATTGTGGATTCAGGAGCTACATATATGACATTCTCGCCTCAATTATGTATTTCTTATACAACATCTCCTAGCACTAGGGAAACTATTATTGGCAATGGCTCTTTTGTTATAGTTGTAGGATATGCATATATTTATTTATCTTCCAAACCTAATCTTAAAATTGTTCTATATGTCCATAAACTTTCATTAAGTCTTATCTCCATAGAAAAACTAACGTATGATCTCAATTTCTCTATAATGTTTTCCCCATCTTTGTGTGTTCTACTAGAGAAGGACTTGGGGATGAGGATTGAACTTGCTTAACACCACCTGAGCATTTATCTTTCAAGGCAAAGTTCCAAAAGATTATTGGGGAGAAGCAGTCCTACCTACTGCTTTTATGGTAAATAGACTTCCCTGATATATGGTAGAGAAAAAAAGTCCTCTTGAAACCCTAAACTTTTTTTCTCTCATGTTCATATATGAAGTCAATCCTCATAGCTAGGTTGGGCCAAAACTAGAAGAAAACCCATGGAGGTGGGTGAAGGATGATATGGTGCAGAAACTTTGATGGACAAGGGAGCTAAGCTCACGGTTTTGTGATGTTTATGGATGATGGAGGTGGTGTTTAGTGATGGTCTAAAAGAGATTAGGCAAACTCTTGGAGGAAGGTGGCTAGAGAAGGTCACTGGGGTTGCTCTGGCATAGCACCTAATAAGAGTAGTATGGCACAAAAATGAACATAACTTTACTCTAAATGAAAGGTAATTACATGAAAGAGACACACATCTATTTATAGGCTAAGGTGTCTCAAAATGGGCAGAAATTTAAACCTAAAAGAACCACCCTCGTTAGCTTGGAGAGCAAGGAGAAAATCCTCTCCATTAAGAGAAGGACAAGTGACAAAAATCCCCTCTAATGAGAGGGGGACATGTGGCCACTACTTATGGAGAATCCTCTCCATTCCTAGAGTAACATGTGGCCACAAACTAGGAGGAAAAACTCTCCAAAGGGAGGGTGACACATGGCATGGATGGCCCACCCCTCATTGTCCACCAAGTTAGATGAAACTTTGACCCCTTGGTCAACAAGTCCAAAATCATGTCCCACTTTGGTCAACATTGGGCCTTGGCCCTTTGTTGACTTGAGTGGTCAAAACCCTATTCTACTTGGCGCAAAATACAAGGTGCAAAATAAATCTTACACTTCTAGGCCCATAATCCAAAGCCCAAATAAATCCAAGACTACTTGGCCCAAAATACAAGACCCAAAATTATTCTTACTCTAAAAGCTTCATGATGGCCCAAGATAGCCCAAGAGATAGAGTCTAGGTCCACTTTTACAGATGACTTTAACTCTTCTTGAAAGTGTTTGGCCATGGTTAGGGTGTATGCCATCAATATATCAAATGGTCTCATTCCTAGAATATCCGGGTGCTCATGTTTCATATATATCCACAACCAAAATAGAGACAAACTTGATTCCCATACCGTTAGATGTGTCATTCTTAGTTATTCAGCAACTGATAAAGGTCACAAGTGTTATATCCCTTCATCTAAAAAGTTGTTTATCTCCATTGATGTCACCTTCATTAAAACTATTTTTTTTTCTCCATTGTCGACTACCAAGAAGTTCTTTTAGAAGATTGTGATGAGTAGGTTTAACCCATTGTTCTATCATATGCTCCAATTGAAGCCTTCAGAAAGGAGCCTACGGCTGAGCAATTTAATTTTTGGGGCAGAATTAGAAACTAAAACTGATAATATCTTTGGTGCTACTAAACTGCAACCAGAAAATACTGGAACAGTTAGAGATTCGTCCCCAAGACTCAGCACCTAAAAGTTTCAGGTCCGTGGCACAAGGGCTATGCAAGTTACTATGGCTAAAAATGATCTTAGATGACTTGAAGATTAATTTGGAGGGACCCATGAAGCCCTACTGTGATAATAAGTCAACAATAGACATTGCACATAATCCCATTCGGTATGGTTTTTTATCAGCTTAATCCCATTCAGTATGACAATACAAAATATATAAAAATAGATAGACACTTCATTCAGGAAAGAATACAAGAAGCTTTAATATGCCTGTCATACATTCCGTCCAAGCAACAGGTAGCTGATGTGCCAATAACAGGACTCAGTACCTCATCCTTCAATAATCTCATAACCAAGCTAGAAATGGAGGCATTTATTCAACTTAAGATGGGGTGTTGAACTATGGATGTAAATACTGCACATTTACTGTACAAATTTGGAATTAGGAGATTATTTGGTAGATTTGCTCAAGATTTAGAGTCTTAATGTCTAGAGATTTATTTCCTTCATATCAAGAGATTCATTTCCTTATTTCAATGTGATTTATTCCCTTCATACCAATGTATTGTTTCTTTTTGAGATCAAGAAAAGTAATTCCATAATTATTGCTTAATGCCGACACATTTTTTCACACTTCCAATATCAATCTAATGTGTGCGTCTGAAAATTTCGCCACATAGAAAAAGTTCTAAGTCCAATAAGCATCATCTCAAACTCTCAGAACATTACTATGGACCATATTTGGTTCTTAAGCAAATTGGCGAAGTGTCTTTCTAATTAGAACTATCACAGCAAGCTCGGATTCATCTGGTGTGCCATGTATCTCAACATACGAAGGCCATCAGGGGTAGAAGTTTTTCTACCTCTAGAATTGCAAGGAACTACAAAAGTGTTCATTCTAGCTTACATTCAGGGAAGACATAAGATCACTTAAGATGCTGCACCAGTATAACAGATGTTAGTGCACTGGAAGGGAAGATTTATCTTCTATTCAAAATCGATTTCTTGATTTTAACCTTACAAGGTTAATTCTGAAGAGGGCAGTATTGATAGACAAAAGCAAATATAGCATGGTGACAATAAGATAGCATTGCAGGTTTGTTGTAGGAGGAGGTTTCAAAACAGTAACTAAGAATACTGTCCTCAGGTGGTTTTTACAGCTAAGTGTTGATAGCAGTTAAAACCCCTATAAAGTTTAGGAGGAGAGGGAGGAGGGCGGGTTGTCACAGAATTGAGTTTTGTAACTGGATTAATCCAGAGAAATTATTAGAGAAGTTCAGATTTACTTTTCTTTGTTTTCTGCAAAAATATCGTTGATTCCTAACACTTACCCTCTTGCTGACATTCTTTGTTTATCTTGTATTTTTTTTATGAAGAGAAATATATTTTCACAGAATGAATGAAATATGAATTTTTAACAAATGTGTCTGATAGAGCCTGTGATTTAGATGATGAGCCAAGGCAAAGGAAGAGTCTGTAGATTGAGCTGGCAGTTGCTTGTCTGTTATTAGAAAAGTTTAAGGTAACATTCAGGAGGTTGGAACGTCATAATAGAAGGGAAGTAATAGGACAAATGGGGTTATGGAAAGTTATGTAGAGCCTTAGGGTGGACAGAGTATTTTCTATGACGAGCCATAGACTGGAAATTGTAGAAGTTTTCAAAATATAAATATATACATTTTTGTGCTTGTGTTTTTCAAATATTTATATTTTTTTTTCTGGTTTCCTAACAGTATACCTCTTTCTGCTTTTTCCTTAAAGGTGAGAGCTGCGTCAATTACATGTTTTGCGGGCATGACTTCTTCTGTGTTCATGTGTTTCACTAAGGAGAAACAGGACTTTATATTGTCTTCTTTAGTAAGTATCTCCAGAAATCATGTTCTAGGCTATCTAACTGCAGTATTGTAATGAATAGATTACCATGCTGCTGTAATGAATTTACTAACTTTCTAAAATTTTGTAGGTACACGCTGCTGTACGTGATAGTGTGCCGTCAGTGAGATCTTCTGCTTGTCGTGCCGTTGGTATCATTTCATGTTTTCCACAAGTGTGTCAGAGGTTATACTATAACTTGTACTGTGAATATTATGATTTCTTTTTGAAACATATATCTGATTCACTAGAGAAAGTCTAAAAGTGTTCAATAATATCTGTAGTGCAGAGGTACTTGAGAAATTTATCCATGCTGTTGAGATCAACACTCGAGATGCACTAATCTCTGTAAGTTCTGCTTCAGTTTCTGGCTCTACAGTTTCCTATATACTTTTTGTAATTAATTGGTATTTGCTGTTTTCCATAAAGCAGGTTAGGATAACAGCTTCATGGGCATTGGCAAACATATGTGATGCTATTTGTCACTCTGATAGAATCCCCCCATTTGGACAGCAGATGGGTGAGTTTGATTTGATGTCCATGATTGAATGGTCAACCTATTGGTGTCAAGACAAAATTTCAATGTTCTCTTTGTAATCTCTTTATTTCTCTACTTTGTTTTGTAGGTTCAATCTCCAATCCCCAGTTGATTGTATTGTTGACTGAATGTGCTTTGCATCTTACTAAGGATGGAGACAAGGTAACTTTTATGTGTTCTGTATTTCCTTAAATTTGAATATTCTGTTGAAAAAATGTCATTTTGAGGAGAGTAACTAGAGACATCACTGAATTCGTGTTTCAATGTACTCAAACATAATGTTTTATTATATGAATAATTATGGAGAAAATGATTGCCTAATTTGTACGATAATATAAATCCAAAAATTACCTATTTACCATTGTTAGTGTTGTATTAAGTTGGTTATGATTTTTGTTTTAGCAATTTTATCAACTTTTCTTTTACGTCTATTTTTCTTTTCTTTCTCCATATATGAAGGAAATCCTTTTTATTCTGTGTGTAGCCTTTCATCTCAACAAGTTTACTTTTCTGTTTCTCTTTCCTTGTCTCTCTAGAACTCTAATTAATATGGTTATCAGGAGCTTAGTGATCAATGGCTTGAAAAAATAATCCTCCTACTCCACCTACCATAACTTGGACTATGGCAGTTCAAACTCATGCGTGTCTGCATCTGGTAGAATCTTTATTTTTGTTTCCTTTTCTTGATGATTCCAGCTTCTTGTTTTGGCATGAACAAATAGAATCATGGGTCAAGTTGCATCACTTTCAACATTTTGTTGTAAACCCATCTATTCCTCTTCGTTTTCTCAGTGAAACAGATCACAAAAATCGCAAAATTAATCCATCATATATTTTCTTGGCAAGAAGATCAAATGCAGTGGGCATGGTTATAGTCCACTTTAGCAAGTTCCTTTCTTAAGCTCTTCATCTATTAATGAATTCTGTCATATATCAGCTATTGATGAATTGCTTGTTCAATGAAATGTTGGGCCATATTGTCTCTGCTTTTTCCACCTGGCAACTTCAACCTTCTCTTTCAAAATGTTTTTTTTGTTATTTCTGTAATCAATATTATCAATAACAATAGTATTCAATCTATTTATCATGCTAGACAAGGGCATCCTAATGCCATTGTTATGAAACTCATTTTCCATTAGTTTGTTATTCTTTTTCTAATAAAGTTGTTTTTGTTCGTAAAGGATGTTGTATTTGCAAAGTTCACAAAATTCCTTCTTCGTATCTCAAACTGTTTTCAATTGTAGTCTTGTTTGTTTATATTGACTAGTGGGGTCCTTCTCCTATGATATTTACTAACTAATGGAACTGGTGTGGAAAATACTTATAGGGTAATATATTTATAATGACAAATAATTGTTGGAAGTCCCATATCGACTAGAAATAAGACTAATTTAGAGTATATAAGTGGGTGCAAACTTCACCTTACAAGTCGGTCTTGTGGAGTTGAGTTAGGCTTAAGTCCACTTCTTAACATAGTATTAGAGCTATGGTTATAGCCTATCCTAGGAAAATTTGTTGTTTGTTGGACATATTGTTCCATCCGCAATCGGGCCGCTATTGGACCACCCATTAATGTCCAATCTCATGCTCTAGATGTATATACCTCGACATGAGGAGGAATGTGTTGGAAGTCACATTGACTAGAGATAAGGCCAATTCAGAGTATATAATTAGGTGAAAACCTCACCTTACAAGCTGGTTTTGTGAGATTGAGTTAGGTTTAAGTCCACTTCGTAACATTTTCTTTTAATGGAACAAAGCATTTATAACCCTAGCGAGATAATATGGTCCACCACAAGTAACGGTTCAACTCACAATAGAAAGATAACCACATAGTTAGCAACAAGTTGGATTAAACAAAACTCCAAATAAGCAAGTTATAAACTACTTAAGTAAACCAAAACTAGTAAGCAAAATAGAAATGTCCAACACCAAGGGTAATCATTTATTTGCCATCATCCTCTGAAACCTTGACCTCCGCTGAAGAGAGGTGAGCATGGATGTAGTCAGCCCCTGTGGTATATCCAGGCCTTTGTCAGTGAGAGCCTTGTAGACACTATTGAACATTGATGTTGCCTCTCCTTCAGTCATTGCTTGCTTCTTCAGCGAAAACTCCACCTTCTCTTGATCACTTATCCCTGGCCTAACACCTGCAGATTTGTTTGAACTCGCTCCTGATCCGTCACTTCTGTTCTTTCTTATCGTCTCCAGAAAAGCTTGATCTGTGTTGGTGGAGAAGGAAGGTTGAGCCTTTGGAGGGAGTGTGGGACCAAGAATTGCTTTGTTCATTACATCTTGGATATTCATCTCCCCATAGTTCTTGTTGGCCATATGCTCACCAAGTTATTCATCCAGCTACACCACCCTCTGGTTCAGGGCTTGATGGTCCTCTTGATTTTCTTCCACCAGCTTTCTCAGTTCACTTACTTCTTTGCTAACATACTCTATAGCCTTGAAAGTAGCTCTTAGAGAAGGAGTGCCCACAACTTCATATTCAACATCTTGATAAGACCATCTCCTAACACAACATTTGGTTATATCCCAGGGTATGCTAGATTCTATAGTCTGAAGGTCCATCATTGGTTTCCTCTTATCTCCTATATTGACCTTTGGAGGCTGAACCTTTATGAAGATAAATGTATAGTGCAGACTAGGTCAGGTATGATAACACTAGGACCATATGATCAGGTAAGACTTAGGGTCCTAGGACATTACTACTCCACGGTTCCTTTTATTGGTTTCTCCTTGATGGTTTTTCAATTCTTGCATTCCTTAATCTTAAGGAATCAGGAGAACCCAAATCTGATAGATTATCCTTATTTTTTCTCAAAGTTTGAAGAATTGTAATCAATAGGTTGGGTATCTTTAATTGAGAAGTTGGCTAGCCTTTTGACATGTCCAGATGCATATACAGTTGTGGATGTGGACACAATTATGACAGGCTCAGAGAGGGAGCAGGCAGTAAATGAGGTTGGAAGAAATGACAAAGATCTTGGTACCCTATATTCTATCTTAGGTCACCTGAAGATAGGGAAGAAAGCACTTAAGCCTATTCCCCGTATTTTGATATATCATAGTCTTTTAGAAAAGTTTGTTTATGGGTTATCAGGTAATTCCTTCTGGAACTAAAGATATATTGGATAAGGCTGAAATACAATTGACTTGTGACTCTAGATCAAGAGAGGAGCCATTTGGAAAATATGAATTCACTCAGTTTACGGCCAAGACAACAAACCAAAAAACCGAGAGATCTAACCTTTGCTTCAAGTGCTAACAAGACTCAAGTCCAAGCAACTACTCCTAAAGGACCCCAGACACTTGCTTAGGTAGTGATCGTGCAACAGGCAGAAAGTGCGGCTATAGTTCAATAAGAAGCACTTCAAGCACAACAGGTTGTTGCTCAGGTAGTGGAACCTATGGATCAAGATGCTAAATATGAAGTTGTGGACACTTCTTCTCTGGGAGCTCTTTTCAAGCCTATAGAAAGTGTTAGCAAAGAAGTAAGAGGAAGAAAATCATGAGGACCATCTAGCCCTGATAAAGAGGATGATTCACTTGGTGAGCATATGACTAACAAGAACTACGAGGAGATGAATACCCATGATGTAATGAACAGGGCGATTCTTGGCCCCACATTCCCTCCAAACGCTCAACCTTCCTCCTCCACCAGCACAAATCAGGCTTTTCTAGAGAGGATAAGAAAGAACATGGGTGGCGGATCAGGAGCGAGTTCAAACAAATGTGAGGGTGTTAAGCCGGGGATGAGTGATCAAGAGAAGGTGGAGTTTTAGCTGAAGAAGCAAGCAGTGACCGAAGAAGGCAGCATCAATGTTCAACAGTGTCTGCAAGGCTCTCACTAACAAAAGCGTGGATATACCATAGGGTATTAGAGCTATGATTAGAGCCTAACCTAGCGATATTTGTTGTTTGTTGGGTAGATTGTTCCACCCGCTATCGGGTCGCTATTGGACCACCCATTAATGTCCAATCTCACACTCGAGATGTATATAGCTCAGTGTGAGGGGTGGGGGGTGTTGGAGGTCCCACATCGACTAGAGATAAGACTAATTTAGAGTATATAAGTGGGTGCAAACCTCACTTTACAGACTGGTTTTGTGGGGTTGAGTTAGGCTTTAAGTCCATTTCTTAACAATAATGAAGAATAATATTGTAACTAACATAAGATACTATAACAATATCTTAACTACTCAAATAGAAATCCCAAATTAAGTTTTAACTTCATTGTAAAAGGATTGAAATATGAAAAACATCTCAGAATTATTTTTCATTAAAGTATCTTAGTACATCTTGAATTATCATCAATGTGTAACAAAATATTGAAATCCTAAATTAGACTTAACACAGCTCGTAATATGTCAGAACACAAAAGAGGACAAAACATGTTATGAGACCCTATAGGAAACGAACTACCACCATGTTTTTCTAATTGACATGACTCATAAGAAATTAGATAATTTGGACAAACCATGTTTTGTCAGAACACAAAAGGGGACACAACACGTTATGAGACCCTATGAGGAAACTACGACCATGTTTCTCTAATTGACATGACTCACAAGAAATTAGATAATTTGGACAAACCATGTTTGACCACTGCTATCTACCTTATTAATAGACTTCTGCCAGCCTCTTAGTAAACATGTTATTAGAAAGATACCTAAGTTTCAATTAAATTATACTATTCTCTTTAAAGTTTCTCCTTATTTTCAATTCTTAAAGACCTTTGGTTGCAATTGTGTTAGTGTTAAACTTTACAACAAACACAAATTTAATTTTCAATCACTGATTAAAGCCTTCAATTAATATATCTGAACTAATCACAAGCCAAAACTTGAACAATTGACTGATTGAAAGCTCAATTCAAGCTAAACTGATAAGGCATCACCAAGCAAAGGCCCGAACTGAGAACATTGATGAATTCCAACAATGCACTGATACAAAATACAAGAAACGGAAGTGGAAGCAATCTCAACTTGAGCAAGAAAGAAATCAGTGACGAACTTGAAGGATCGAGATCTGTGCAGAAAAAGCTCTAGGTACTACCATCTTAGAGAAATTGAATGGAGAAAAGAGAGAGAATTAAACATGACCTGAATGTTTTATTGTTGTAACACATCTAGAATCATAGATGTAGTCAGTCTACTACTAACTATTATAGAAACTGACAACTGCACAATTACAAAAAGAAAAAGAAATTGTACAATTATAAGTAAACCCACATCTGTACAATGTAACTGGAAACTATACAAGTCAACTGTAGTTAGCTATAGTATGTATACTTACACGTAATCTAGAATGCATTTTTAGATTCTATAATTCCTAAATGTATTTTGGATTTTACAATCTGAAATATATTTTCAAAATACACAGTTGGGATACATATTCCAAATTGTACAATCTATAATACATTTTGGATTTATAATCTAGAATATATTTTTGGATCTAAAAATGTATCACAGATTAATACATTTTCAGATTGTGCAATACGAAATACATTGAGTTTTGGATTGCATCATCTGGAATAGATTTCTAGATTGCATAATGCTTAATAGATTTTCGGATTGCACAATTTGGAGGATTATGCCATCTGGAATGTTTCCAACCCATGGATAATTAGGACTATTTCCACACCTATGGAGGTGCAGTAAGAAGGTATGGATGTGCGAAAAGAAATGCACTTTGTTAGGAAGTTTCCTGGATTGAGTAACATGTAAACAACAAAGTATAATATTGTGTAAGGTGGGTTATGTGGAAAGTAGTTGTCTAATTATTATTTGCTATATAATTTTATAAATTTTAGAATTTCTAGTTAACATAATTAAGGATTGCCTAATTACCGTAAATCAAGTTATCTTAAATATCTAACTAGCAAATCATTTTATATATATTGATTATTTTCCTCTGGTTTGCACATGTCTCTCGCTTATTTATGTTTTCTTTTTTCCATTACCAGGTTAAATCTAATGCTGTTAGGGCTCTTGGGTATATTTCGAGAATCTTAAAATGTTCAACATCAAAATTTCAGGACACACCATTGGACCATCATAACCATTTGAATGAAGCATTTCTCAACACTAAAAATCTAATGGTGTGTCAACAACATTGTGCATCGGATCGTTTGCAGGATTTGAATAGGCTTGAGAGAATAGTTCAATCATTTATTTCTTGCATAACTACGGGGAACGTTAAGGTACCATAATCTTATATTGTTTGGTTATTATCTGAGTATTTTGGTTTCTTGGTATCAATGCACTCTATCCCTCTTGAAGATGGAATCTCTCTTACTAGGTCCAGTGGAATGTTTGTCATGCTCTTGGAAACCTATTCCTCAATGAGACATTAAGGCTACAAGATATGAATTGGTACGTTAAAATGAAGCACATGCTTCTTATGTTTATCACATACATTACATATCTGTATTCTTCTCCTAGTTATTGCATGCAATTGATAGCTTATAGGAAACAATTTGTATCAGACCTACGATTGAAAGACTCATTTTGACGATGAATTGTGAATGTCAAAACCAAACTAGTCCTTCGTGACTGGCCCCTCCTAATCTAGTAGTTTTTCTGAAATTGATTCTCATGGTCCGCCCTTTAAAATGGTATAGATCCCCAACAATTATCCTAATTGATTAAATAAAAGATACTCCTAAATAATCCTAATTAATAAATAAAAATAAAGAGATCCCTATTAAAGGGATCTTCTCTAAAATTATCCTTATTAGATAGTAATTTGAAATGAGGGCTTCATTAAGCAAAAGATAAATCAACGAGATAAACTGTAATAGATCAAGATTTAACTAAAAAATACTACAACCCTAATTGGTGGACCAATCCTCTATAGTGATAAAGATATCGAGCCAGTGATGGAATCATTGTGCAGATAAGTTTACCAGTTTAGGTCTGTCATCCTTTGAAGGGATTAAATACTGTGCCAACTTTTACAAATTTGGACTTCTTTCATAATAGATGTCTTCTTCCAATGTATAGGGAAAGTTAGCTGATGGATGCTTTATAACTAACTGCCTTTTTCTTTGTTCATGGGTTTTGGTTTGGTCCCCTTATCAGTTCTTTGTTTCTTTTTTTTAATATCTTCATGAACTTATAAAAACAAAGTTTCAAGTCCTTGATAAATTTAAGAATTTTCAACTTAGTCCATGTTAAATCTTTGTGGTCTATTAAGTACTCAAAAAAGTTTTATTTTCATTTGAGTTCTTACTATTTAATTTTTGGAGTTAAAATCTAATAGTATCTCACCACAACTAGTGTTCTAACCTCAGTTTGCTAGTTTATTTGCATAACATTTACCTGTCCTTATTGTAAAGATTTTCAAGCCATGAAGCTTTAATAGTGACAATGAAGTCACTCTTCATGTTGCATCCAATCCCATCTTAAATGAGAGATATAAATATATATAGATAAAGAGTCATTTTGTGAGAAACAAATGATTAGGGGAAATCACTAGTGACTTTGCTAGCTACATTGACCAACCGACATGTCGTCATAAATCTTTTAAGGGATCTTGTGTGAACTTATTTGTAACAAGCTTGGTGCAAGAAATATACCCTCCATTTTAAGGGAGAGTATTAAGGGTATAATTGTCCAAATAGGCAAATTAATTTGCACAAGTATTTCACACACGACTTAAAGTTTATGGAACTGTCTTCAGTTGGATTCATATTTTTAATGTCCAATAACTTGAATATTTTGTGCTATTCTTTTATTTAATATCAGGATGAAACATTCCCTTTCATAAATTGGAACAAAATGTAGATTGGTTGTTTCTGAAGTATATAAGGCATTATATTTCTAGTATTTTCCTTAGTCTCGTATTAAGAAATAGGTACTGTAGTTGAATGTGTTTCAGTTTCATTAGATGAATGATATTCGTTGCCCTGTTTTTGGTAGTCCTGCTTTGCACAGGCACTCTTCATGAAGATATATTGTTCAACTTTTTATTTCTGTAACACTGAAATGTAAACTACTGAACAGTGCCTCATGTTGCCATTTTTCAGGTCTCCAGTTGTGTTTGGTATTCTTCTGCAACTACTACGTGATTCATCAAATTTTAAAATAAGGATACAAGCTGCAGCAGCATTGGCTGTGCCAGTGTCAGTGCTAGGTAATTGTTTTTCTTATAATGATATTGGTTTAGACCAAAAATATACATGATGCTGAAGTGTTCTTCCCATTATCAACTTCAGATGCCCAATCAGCATCTGAAAAGGCTTGTAAAGCTTGTGTAGGTGCTATTGACAATGACAAGAAATGTAATTCATTATCAAGAAATACAAAAGTTAGTGAACCTTTTACGAAATCCATGTATATATGGAAAGAAGAGCACTGAATAAAGATAGACATTTTGTAACAAAATACAACTGTCAAACAACATTTCAAAACTATTAGTACATCTCGTCTCAAGTATCTCGTTTAGCAGAGGAGCAATATCTGGGCTGTTTTTTGGAGGATTTGAGATTGGAGATTCAGCGGAGGGTTCGCACCTTCAACCTTGTGAATCGTCTTCAAGCCATGCGTCTGGCTTGGGATGTGGAAGCATAATTGCAAGGAGAGGGATTTCAGCATGGAGGAGGAGTACAAAGTAGGAAAAGCAATTGAGATTGGGATACGGGTCAGGGAGAGAAGTTTGGATCCGAGTCCGGTCAAGGCCCAAATTTAGGGAGATTAGGAGCTAGATTAGGCCCAACACAGGGAACACAAACTAAACCCTTATCAGTAGGGAGTGCAAACCCTCACTAGTCACCCTCTATGATACAACAAAGTAGCCGTGTTTCTAGTATTCATTTTCCGACTGTCGACTGGAATCATGGCATGAAGCATTTGCCTTACTCCGAATTGATGAACTGGAAAGCTCAGGGGCTTTGTTTTAGATGCCGTGAAAAATACCACCCTTTACAACGATGCATGGAGCGGCAATTGCGAATGGTGGTGTTAGCTGACGAAGAAACAGTAAATGAAGCGGGGGAGGTTATCACGAGTGAGATGTGAGAAGAGGAAGATGACCGTACCTTGGAGTGTGGTTCTATGGGGTTGTTCGCAGAGGTTGAAGTGTTGTGGGGTGGTTGGAATAGCCCTTCAACTTTGTGCATAGAGGGTCGTCTCAATGGAGTAACCCTGGGAGTGGTGATTGATAGTGAGGCTAGTCATAATTTCATCTCTCCTCATGTAGTGGCTGCTCTGGCTCTGAAAGTGGACAAAAGAAAATTGATTGGGGTGCATCTAGGAGATGGGTAGAGGGTGTATACTATGGGGAAATGTGAGAAGTTGGACGTTCAACCAGGAGAATTCTCTACTATGGTGTATAACTTATGAAATATGAAACCATAACTTTTTGAAGTAATGGAACCTGTCTATCAATTACTGGCTCATTTAACCATTTATCAGTCCAAAAGTTAATAGATTTGCTTTGCCACATTGTATTTTCCTTTATTTTCATTTACCATTTTACTTATTTTGCTGTAAATTGGTTTGTACAAATAACTTTTCTTCAATTCCGTTAATAGCTTCATCTGAATATAACTTGTTTTCTGGTTTTTGCAGATTATGGCCAATCATTCTCAAAGATTGTGGAATCTGTTGAGCATCTACTGGAGAATATGGACGAGGACCAAATTTCTGGGCCATCAAATTTCAAGTACCGGGTTTCATTAAAAAAGCAGGTGATCTTGCAAGCTTACTAGTGATCTTTACAACATCATTGATACTTAGTATTCAGGGATGTTGATAGGATATAATGTGTATGATAGGTGGAAATAGATTACAATGTTAGTTGTTAGTTCGGTTGTTAGGTTGAGTGAGTCTTTCTTTATACAGTTGGGGGTCTTTGTAGGCAGGGGAATGTTATTGGATGTTTAGAAAATTGTTGACAGGATCATTACCATCCTGTGTGAAGGGAACTTTGTCCCTTGGAGGCATTCAAACTATTATGGGTGCCTAGAATCAATAATACCATATCTTTTCAGTGAGCTTTGGTGTTTTACAGTAATTTTCTTGGGTTCCTCTACCTAGGAACCTAACAGATGTTCACATAATTTAAAACTACGATCTTGACAATAACATATTTGCACTAAATTATTAATAATTGAAATAATACACTGATTTTTTTCTTACCAGTGTAGTTCACTAACTGAACTAATGTAAGACTTTAGTTCAGTGAACTAACGTGTGTGTTAAAATCTCTTTCCAAAATTAGCAATTTCATTGTTGCAAACATGACTTTGCTTCAACCTTCAACTCTTTATCTCTTCGTCGGTTCAAGATTAAACCTTACTAATTCCCTTCACAAAGTTTACTTCTTATTTTATATTTAAGTATATTTCAACAATTATGCTTAATTTCTTGCAACACTTCCTAAGCGATTAGACATATAATAGGTATCAAATAAAGTATAAATTTTAAATTTCTTGATAACTTAAGTGTTGTATTATTATTTTTAAGTAATTTTAAACTTTAACAAATCTCCTTAAAACATTAATTTTTTTTTTTAGTTTTGTTTTAAAAATTAGTTTAGTTTAACAAAAATAGTTTAATTCTAACCTTTAATTTTAGCTCACTGAACCCAAATATATCAATTTAATTTGTCCAAATAATTTTTTATGGTCAGTTTAGATCGGGTGAATTATTATTTTAGTTATAGTTCAACATTTTGAATACCCTATTTCTGTAATCAAGTTATTATAATTTCACAAGAGATGAGATATTACTATATCAGACTAATATCCCGATTCCAAAACTAGAATACTACTATATTTAAAGTTTAAAATTTGAATGAAGTTACGAGGTATTCTTATTATTTTAACTTAGTTATTGAATTAGGGAGTTCTGAAATTGCTTTCTTGCTGTGCTGCTGCTGTCATTACTTAACTGAACTACCCATGTTTTGGATGCAGCTTACCTTGACAATGTTACACGTTCTAAGCTTTATCTCAAGTTCAAACGATCAACAACTGAAAGATTTTCTTGTGATGGTATGTATTTTATCATGATGAAAGTATATAGCTAAGCATATGCAGAGGGAATTATATTTTCACTAGCTATTGCCCAAGAGCAATAAATGATAACAGTTTGAAGTATATAACTCTGTCTCTTCATATATTCACAACCAAAAAGTCTAACATGCAGCTAGAACAGCTTCTTCCTATAAATGGTTTGGGAGATTTGTGATGAAAATGTGATAGGGCAGCCTATACTTGAAATATGAGAAGAAGATTAATAATTTCTCAATTGCTTGTGTACAGGCTGATTACAAATGTGTGCTTTGTGTCTCGTTAATTTCTTCATAGTATATGCTATGAAAGTTCATGCTATTACAATTGCAAAAAATAAAACAGAAACTAATTGTAGGGAAACGTATCTGAACAAAGAAAAATAGAAACAGGTAAGTTCCTTTGCAAAAGTATGGAAAAGTACCTGGCATCTTTTAGGAGAGATCTTGAAAATTTTATGTTAAGAAGTTTGTATATTTGCCAGTTGACACCCAGAAATGGCATGATAATATGAGTCAACTATCCAGTTCTTCATAAGGAAGTCTCTAAGTTTATGTACTTTCACCTATTATAGTGAATTGGATTACTGGCTATGTTAATAGATCTTTTTGGGCAAATTGTCTCTGTGATAACTTTGCGTAGTCGTTAATCGATGTATTTGTCTCTTATGACTTGGGGCTGGTGTACCTTATGTTAAAATAAATTTATTGTACATTAGTTAAACTTTTTGTAGTATAATAGTCAAATTTATAAATTGTTTCACAAGTTTATTTGGACTCAAGTTTGACTATCACGTTGCTTTATACTTTTTGTTACTTAAAAATTAAACTCTAAAATAATTCTAGAGAGCTTGATTAATCCCTCTCATAATCTTTTATTTATAAGAATAAATTGATAGAAGAGTACATGGTAAATAGGGTAACCCTAGATACAATATAATCATGATAAATGGGTAACCCTAGACATAATATAATCATAATAAATAGAGTAACTCTTGACACAATATAATCATGATAAATAGAGTAACCCTTGACACAATATAACACTCTCCTCAAGCTGGAGCATACAAATTGTATGTACCAAGCTTGTAACAAATAAACTCAATTCGAGGACCCCTTAATGACTTGGTCAATACATCTGCGAGTTGATCGTTTGACCCAATAAACTCAGTACATATTTCTTTAGTCAATAAATTTTCACGAACAAAATGACAATCAATTTCTATATGTTTAGTCCTCTCGTGAAACACTGGATTTGATGCAATGTGGAGAGCAGCTTGATTGTCGCAATACATCTTCATGATGGATGTCACAAAATTTAAACTCTTGAAGGAATTGTTTCATCCATATAAGTTTACATGTTAGTGACGTCATTGCCCTATACTCGGCTTCCGCGATTGATCGAGCTACTACATTTTGTTTCTTACTTTTACATGAAATAATGTTTCCTCCTAGAAAAACACAATATCTTGTAGTAGACCGTCTATCAATAGGCGAACCTGCCCAATCTGCATCACAATACCCAGAGACTTGAATGCTTCCTTTATCTTCATATAATAATCTTTGCCCGAGAGCCTTTTGGACATACCTTAGAATGCGAATGAGAGCATCCCAATGGTCAACACATGGAGCCTGCATGAATTGACTAACCACTCTAACTGCAAAGGATAGATCTGGCCTTGTAATAGTGAGATAAATCAGTTTTCCAACTAGTCTTCTATACCTCTCTGGATCGGAGAATAATTCACTTCTTCTGTCTTTAATTTCTGGTTTGGGTCCATGGGACTGTCTACCGGTCTGTCATCAATCATCCTTGTTTCTTGTAATATATCAAGATCATAGTTCCTTTGGGAGATTACAACTCCATCTTTTGATTGCGCTATTTCAATGCCTAAGAAGTATTTGAGACTTCCAAGATCCTTGGTTTAAAAATGTATACACAAGTACTCTTTAAATTGAAATATTCCAACAACATCATTTCCTGTAATGACAATATCATCAACATATACTATTAAGTAAACACATTTCCCAAGAGAAGAATGACAATAAAAAACAGAATGATCTGCTTCACTGCGTTTTAGCCCAAATTTTTGAACAATGGAGCTAAACTTTCCAAACCAAGCACGTGGATATTGCTTGAGGCCATACAAAGATCGATGCAGTTTGCATACCACACCAGACTCCCCTTAAGCAACAAAACCAGGAGGTTGCTCCATATATACTTCTTCCTCAAGATCACTATGTAGGAAGACATTCTTGATATCCAATTGATGAAGTGGCCAGTGACGAATGGTTGTCATGGCAAAGAAGAGGCGAATAGTAGTCATCTTGGCTACAGGAGAGAAAGTGTCACAATAGCCAAGACCATAAACCTGAGTGTAACCTTTTGCAATAAGTCGGGCTTTGAGTTGATTAATTTCACCATCAGGGCTGACTTTAACTGCATACACCCATCGGCAACCAACCGCCTTTTTTCCTGGGGGAAGGGGCACCAGCTCCCAAGTATTACTGTGATCAAGAGCCTACATTTCTGCAGTCATAGCTTGTCGCCATCTAGGATGATCAAGTGCTTCTTTCACATTCTTGGGTATAACAATAGAAGACATTGAGGATAAAAGAGAAAAATAGGAGGGCAACAATCGATGATAGCTATGAAAATTATAAATGGGATGAGAGTTTCGAGTGGAACGAGTACCTTTTCTGAGAGCAATAGGCCATGTTGAATCATTTGCACCAGGGGCGCGGGAGGAGGTGACGAGGGAGAAGAATCTGAAGTAGGAGATTCACCATTGTGTTGGGGAGATGGACTATCCATTGGGGCCCTGTGTGGCATGATCTTAGTATGTGGAGAAACGGGTTCAGGAGGATTGTGATCAAGACTTGGAATGATAGAGACAGTGGAACTATTTGACTCAGCAAATGGAATAAGAAGAACATGTTGGAGGATAGAAACATCCTGAACAGATGGAGAGAAGTAAGGAGTTTGTTCAAAGAATGTGACATTGGCAAACATGTAATACTTCTTAGTTTCAGGAGAGTAACACCGATATCCTTTTCGAAATCGAGAATAGCCTAAGAAGACACATTTGAGAGCGCGAGCGGAGAGTTTGTCTAGACCTGGAGACATGTCATGAACAAAACATACACAGCCAAACACTCGGGGAGATGTATGAAAGAGAGGATCATTAGGAAACAGAATGGAGAAAGGGATTTTATTATCAAAAGAGGAGGAGGGCATCCTATTAATAAGATAACATGCAGTTAAGATGATATCTTCCAAGTGATGGACAGGAATATGGCACCAAGCAAAAGAGTACGGGCAGTTTCAACCAAGTGTCTATTTTTTCGTTTTGCTATACCATTTTGCTTGGTGTATGAGGACAAGTAGATTGATGTAAGATACCATGGGAACTCAAGATGCCAGAAAAGTAGGATGAGAAATACTCTTTTGCATTATCACTTCTTAATATTTTGATTACTTGACCAAATTGATTCTTGATTTCATTCAAAAAGGATGTAAAGATGACTAACAATTCAGAACGATTTTTCATAAGATAAACCAAGTACATCTTGAATATTCATCAATGAAGGTAACAAAATATCTAAAACCAAAGGAGGAGATACGACTAGGTCCCCATATATCAGAATGGATGATGGAAAAACTAGAATTACATATTGATTGAGACCTTTTAGGAAAGAAAGATCTAACATGTTTTCCTAATTGACATGACTCACATTCACCACTAAGTTTAGGACACATCTTTTTTAGTTTGGACAAATGAGGATGTCCAAGTCGATCATGTAGCAGTTTAGGATTAGGAGCAGTAACACAGGACACCCTTGGATGAGATCCAAAATGGTATAATCCGCCAGATTCATATCCTTCTCCAATCTGTCTCCTCGAATCACGCTCCTATATAACAAAAGATTTGTGATCAAAGGTTATTAAACAATTTAACATTTTGGTCAATTGGCTTAGGGAAATTAAATTAAAAGGACAATTAGGGACAAAAAGAACAAAGTTGAGATTGAGGGAGGGAGACAAGGAAACATGACCGACTCCTTTGGAAGAAGTTTTAGATGAGAACAAGAGGTATTACCAGAAATGTGATCAGAAGCACCTGAGTCAATTACCCATGAATTTTGACCTTCCAGGTTTATCTTCATATCAATTCTAATCTCTTTCATGAGAGGACCAAACACATCGAAATTGACTGTCATTTCCTTTGAGAAAAAATTGTATATGGAAACATCAAGACTGAATTCATCAAATCAAATGATCAGTTAGCAAATATTTTCACTTAGTCTTTATGGGGACCAAGAATTGATTATATTTGTAACAAGCTTGATACATATGATTTCTATGCACTAACTGGAGAGGGAGTGTTACATATATTACGTTTTATGTTAATTAGGAAACATAATCCCTAAGTTAATCATGTTATTTTTACATATTCATTTTATATTTGGACTTAGCCTACATTCTCATTATTATAAATACATTATCCTGTGTATATATTTTCTACACAAGGGAGATTAATTCTATACCTAGTTTTAGTATATTCATGTACTTCAATCAAAATCATATAATTCCATAGCTTCTCTCAGCTATGAAAATTATAGCTGTTGGAGAATTATCATACGGAACATCTCTTCATTGGGCAATATTTTTGTCAATTGTGTTGCGTCTAATTTCTTGTTAGTCACCAAATAGCATGATTTTTAAGGTAGCTAACAGTTTTGGGCCCTCAAATCTATTTTAAAAGTGAAAATTAGAAAATTAAAGTTAAAGTTTGGTAGCTTTTTGTACTTCTTAACACAGAAGTCACTTTGGTTTTGTTATTGAGTCTTAGGATTGTGTTTCTCTCATTTAATACACACTTTTTTCATAAAATATTTGAGAGAAACTTCAAATAGATGGGCCAAATAGTCTCGTGAGGTATGGAATAACATCATTGATGGAAAAGTTAATCTTAAATCCTCATGTTTGATTATATTGTTAGTTTTTCTCACTCTCACTTGCATATAAATTAGTACACAGTAATACAACATTTTGTATATAACATAGTAATACAGATCATATTATATCGCAATGTTTACTGCGTACCTTGTACTAGAAGGTTGTCTCTCTGCTTTATTATCATTTGATCTTTTGAAGTAGTACATCCTAATAATCATCTTTTATATATTTGTTTTCTGGACTAAAGGTAATGCTTGCGTTTTTGTCACCTATCCTTGTGTATGTACAATTTCAGTTTTCTTTTTAAATGTCGTAATTTCTTGCAGATTATATGATCCTCTCTTCTTTAATAATCTTTGATGGAAATTTGACTAATCAATTTTCCTTCTGCTTCATCCGTGTAATAGAAAGCCTTGATTCTTGAAGATTGGTTCAAGGGATTATGCTCGTCCGGTGAGGGCATGATTGATGCTCAAGATAAGGGCAATGCAGACAGAAAAAGAGTAATGATATGTAGTGCGTTACAGTCGCTGGTTGAATTATACAGAGATAAACAACAGGATGCAATAGCTGAGAAGTTTGAGAAATTGAAGAACAATTTGTGAAGGAGCTTGAAAATGGCAATGGTGGAAATGATGGGCTATGGGAGCCGAACTAACCAATCTTGTAGAGAAGAATTTATTTGAGGCACTCTCTGTATGTATTATAATTTTGTAGGAGAGATTGCTTTAATAGGATCTTTTTTTAATACATATTTTTGGGATTTGTAATGGCCAGCCAACTGTCTAGACCTTTTTTGTAAAATTCTCTCAACTTTGTATGTAATTTATGAAAAAAATTATCAATACCGAAGCATATAAATCATGATTTTGAGCATAAAATAATTATTTTCTAAATGTCCAAGACTTTTATTAGTGCATCTGTTAAGAAAATTGATAATTACGTACTATTCAAAATATACGTTTTAATTTGTTTTACCAAATATTTTTTCTAATTTTTTTTTTGTTATAAAAGGTATTTTTGTAGATGAATTGAATGTTTCTTCATCAAAAAAATTGTTAATAGATAGATTAAATTGAATTTTTAGTAAATGATCAGTTTTTTAATTTAATTTATTATAATTCGACAAAATTTATAAATATCCATCTAATTTTATTCATTTAAAACCCTTATAGAATTTTAAAGATCTTATTCATAATAGCATTCTATCTGTAATGAATGTTTATCTTGCCATTAGTGTATTTTGTGTTTCTGTTGCTCTTATACCCTTTTTATTCGTGACATTGCAAATGCATGCCAGCGTACAGACACAAGAAAGGTAAGTGCAAAGGCACAGTCAAATACATGACATCTTGAAACTTTTTGTCCCTCTTTTTTCATGTTCAATCATCTCCCACTGCTTACCTTATGGGGCATTCTTTCTTGTACCATGTAAATATGAAAATTTCTACTTTGTTATTTTGGTTTAAAAGTTTTTTCAAATTTTACAGTGCGAAAATGACTTGGATTGTATAATTTATAAGTTAAAAGCATTTTGTAGATTACACAACATTGACTCCTTTTTTATATGAAAGAAATTTCTAGATGGTGTAATTAAAAAAATACATTTGACTTTTATTTTGTTCATAAAAGATTTTTGAATTTTACAATCTAAAAGTTATTTTAGACTTTTATATTATACAATTTGTAAGTTTATTTTTTCATTTTTGGATTACACAATTTGATTGTTTTTTTTTTCTTAAAAGGAACTTTGTGATTTTAGAATTCGAAAGTTGCTTCTAGGTTGTACAATGTAAAAGTCATTATTGTGGATCAAGAATGCTTATATAGAAAAGACACGATCAGAGGGATGAAGGCAAAAGGATAAAAGGAAGGACCAATGGTGGTGACGTAAAAGATATACAAGAAGACATACCTTTTTTTAGACTGTGTTCACGTTTTAATTCGTATGTGCTATTCCTTGTGAACGGAAATTTAGGTTGAAATGAACAGTATAATAATGTGTTCACTTGGAGGATAGATTTGAGAGAGAAAAAGTATATAGATTTGTGATAATTTGAAAATAAATTAAGTGTTTTTTTTAAGAGATTTGGAGGTGAGTGAGATTGAATTTGGAATAAAAATTTGTGAAAGTTATGAGTAGATGGATTTATGAGGATTCGAAAGTAAATTAAATGTTTTTTTAAGGGATTTGGATGTGAATATAATGAATTTAGATTGAAAGTTTGTGAAAGTATACTGTAAGATTTGACTGATATGACAAAATTGTTTTAATTGATAAAAAATAAAAGTTACCAAAATGATCTTTAATGGTAAAAATAATATAAAATAATATTTAAGAGTAATATATTTTTTGACAAAAATTATTTGAAATAGTTGTAATGAAAAAATTAATAAATAACTAATACAATATATTTTAGATAAATAACCAAGTTTAATAAAATATATTTAATAAAATTTTCATTTTTTTTTTGTAATTTTAATTTCACTTTCAATTTTTCATAAAGAAGTAATAAATCTTCTGAATAAAACTAAGTTTAAAATTTTTGTAAAAGATTATTGAATTTAAATACATAATTAAAAGATTAAATTGTACTAAATAGAGAAGAAGCATGGTACGTAACTTCTTTTTTTATTATTATTATTAATATTACTATTTTATTATATTATTATTAATAAAATTAATAAATGAATTTTTCAGTTTAGTTGGAATTGATTCCTTTTTATTGGAATGGAACCCATAGTATTCATCTTTTAAGATAGATATAAGAAGGTATAGTTTTACACAGACAAAATTGGATTTTTAAATTAATATAAATTCTCTCAAATCTCTGCTAAATAACAAAGATGGAATTAACCATTAATTTTACAAATTCGTTTCTTTCTTTCCTTTTAAATACTTCAAAGTGAATACAAAATAAATTAATAATCTATCTACGCAAACAATTGTGAATAATAAAATCTTTATCGAAAGTAATTTGATAATTTTTATTTTCTATCCATTAAAACATTTTGGGTTAAATATGTTTTTGGTCCCTTAACTTTCAGTGAAAATTGAAATTAGTAACTCTTAAAAAATTTGAACTAATTTAGTCCCAAAACTTTAGAAATGTGTGAATTTAGTCCTTTTAACCAAATTTTGTTAACTTTATTTGATGTTTCAAACACATTTTTCAGTTAATATTGAAGCAAAAATGTGTCAAAAGGTATAAACAATTCAGATGCTACCATGAAACGCACTTGAAACATTAAATAAACCTAACAAAATTTAGTTAAAAGGACACATTAATAAAGTTTGGGGACTAAATTAGGCCAAAGTTTTGAAGAGTGACTAATTCCAATTTTCACTGAAAGTTAAGGGACCAAAAATATATTTAACCCAAACATTTTTTAATTTATCATATCAATTTAATATTACACAAACTTTCCCAAATTTTACTTCTAAATTCACTCTCAATCATCCTCAAATCTCTTCAAAATACAACACATAATTTACTCTCAAATTTATCATTTCCTTCTCTATCAAATTCTCTCAAGTGAACACACCCTCGTAGACCTATATAAACAATTGGACTTTGTCCGTGAAGCTTATCTCTTTTGAATAGTTAAAGCTTAAAAACACATGAAAGTGAATGACCTCTATGAAGTACTTGTTGGCTTTTGAAAGCGGATTGATTATAACTAGAGCCTCTTTTTTTTATAAATAGTATTTTCTAACAATGATCACAGTCATTTATATTAGTTTACTCTTATTTCTTGGATTACATATTTGTTCTTTTAGAAAAATCTTGAGGAGTTTTACAAATCAAATACTTGATTAGAAGAAAAAAAATACATAAACCATTTTTAGTTATCCTTTTCAAATATCATTTCTGAAATTGAGAACTTGATTATTTTTCAATTATCACTCGTGGCATATAAACACATATAATGAAAGGTAATAAAAATAACTCTAAGAGAGAGAATATATAAATAATTCTCATAATGGGTAACTTTATGGAATGAAGAATATAAAAGTTTCATACTTTCCCTTAGGTTTAATAGGTTCGGAGGTCCGTATATTTGCAGGTTCGTTTCAATTGGGTCCTCCAATTTTAGAAGTGATCAATTAGGTCCCTAATTTGGTCAATTAGATTCAATAATAGCATTTTCGTTAAATGCAATTAACGACGTTAACATTTTGAACAAGTGGCAAGCTGAGGCATCCAAGTTCCAAGTGACACTGTTTGAGCTGTATAGGTGGATTTTTAACATTTTTAAATTATTGACAAATAAAATAAAAGTAGAATAATGAATTTTTGAAATATAATTATAACTCATTAAACCAAAACAATGTTTCCTATTTTGGGGTCTGCGAAATTGGGGAAATTAGAGAAATTAGGGCTCGTCCTTGTATTTGAAGGTCGAGCTTGTAGTTCTGCGATGCGGCTGTGTGTAGTGCTTGTGGTTGTTGTTGTTCGAAGACAATGTCGAAGGAGCACTCTTGTCAGTGTAGCAACTCTGTCGTCAGCATACCCCTCGCCTTCTCCTCTGGCCGAGTCAGAAGAAACAGGTTGAGAAGACATGTTTACTTGGAAGACTGAGTTTGAAGCTCTTGAAAGAGGAAAGAGCAGGGAAACTATGCGGTTGATGAAGAGCTCGAGGGTAAAAGTGAAAAAATGGGATTACACTACCACTATTTATAGATGGTAAAGGCAGTTCACCAAACTCATCTGGGTGTTTAAAGGGAAAAGATTTGACGGTTCAAGCGTTGTGACGTTACGTTTTAAAGGGAAAAGATCTGACCGCGGGGTCCCGACAACCGTTGAGCAGAGTTAAGCAGAGTTAAGGCACAATTAATGTCACAACGGCTACTGTCAAGCGGTTAATGTTTGCATTAATGATCATTAAAAGGTAAATTAATTGGTCATATTCTTTTAAACTCTATAAATAAGGGTTTAATTTCGAGGTAAATTTTACTTTGACTCACTGTTGAATTACAAAAGTCCTACAGAAAAAAATTCTGATTTGAGCGTTGGAATGTATTTTGCAGATCACCCCCTACACCGGTCAGTTATCTGCAAGGAGGACATTCGGCAGAGACAAAAACTTTTCATACAACTATCCTCATCCCATTTCAATAGAAACACAATATTTTCTCATTTTGACTTATCTTACATTTGTTCAACATGTTTGTTGTCTTACATAGTTGTTGTCTTACATAATTGGTTACATTACCACTAAGTAATTGGATTGCAATAGCAGAAGCCTGACACCCTTTATGTTCAATTAGTTTCATATTCATTTTGTGAGAGATAATCTTATCAATTACAATGTTCAATTATTTTGAAATAATTTTAATTCTCATATATGCTATTTTCTCCTGTGAGAGTATTGATCTGTCATTCATTTCTACTTTATCCTGTCCTCATTGCTTTTCTATAATAATTTTAATTCAAATCATATGCTGATGACTTTATTGGTTCATTGATATGAGATGTTTTGGTTTATTTGATCACTTATATTTCTTTTCATAAAGACATAATAATATGCAAAATATAATTATCTTATTCATTACATCAATATTTACAGGAACATGAATATATATATTTAATTACCACATATATTCCTCTTAATATCATGTTAATAAATCTCAATTAATAATTAGATATTACAAAATAAACATAATAAAATTATACATTAACATTTATAATATTTTATGTCTTAAAAAATAATGTTTGATCTGATTATTTATTATCTTCAACTTGTCTAATTTTACATCCCTTAACACAATCTCTTCATAGACCTTGGTATGAAGGAAATTTTTCCATGAATTCATTCCTATTATTATAATTATAATGAAGATCGTCAAAATGATTTGTGTAAAAATCTTTGTCACTCACCTTTCTAACCTACAACTTAGTTGTATATAAAAAAATAAGGAGACTATTTATACCAATTTGTAGAGATCAAACAGATACAAACATCATGGCAAATTGTTGTTATTTTTTAATTATATTTGAACTTATTTTATTATAGGTTTAAATCCTCAAATTATCCTCATATTTGTTGGAGAATCTAAAGTAAATCCTCGTTTTTCAACTGTTTCAATTGGGTCCATATATTTGTAAAATGTATCAATGGTCCAAATATTTGAAAAATTAAGCCAATTAAACCTTGTCCGTTAAGTTTCCACATACGACGTTAAAATGCGATGACGTGGTCCACGCTGATGTAAAAGTGTTTTATTATGTGGAATTTTTTCTTAAATTAAGAGTTTTTGATGTGGCAAAATTTATTATGAGAATAAGGTTCACTCCTTCTCCTTCACAGCTACTGTCTAGGCGAGCTTTGTGATGACATCTTTGTGATGACATCTTTGTGATGACATCTTTGTGATGACGACAAATGAAGATGGTTCGAAGAGGTGCAAGGAGAAGGCGCGTTGTTCTGGGTTGCAATTTGAGATTTTTACAAATGGGGTTTTGTGGGTTCTTCGTGGTTTATGTTTTCTTATGCAGATGGAAGGCATTGGAGTTCACGATTTAGGGAAGGTGAAGGCGCGAATTGGGGCTGTGCAATTCTAGGGTTTCTGTTTCTGATTTTGGGATGAACTGTGTTGATTTTCTGGGTTTACAAATTAAGAACCTCCAAGAAGAAAACATGATTTGTGCGAGATGATGGAGACACTGAATCGCTTCTACGTCACTGCTGATTTCTTTACCTGGATTGAAGGAATAGTAGAGGGAATAGTTGAAAATAATAGAAAAAAATGAACATTAATTGCTTTACCTGGATTGAGAAGCACAACAAAATACTAATAATAACATCCTAAATCCTGTAATAAGTACATAAGGTGTTTCTTTGCTACCCAGCTTCACGAATTTTTTCTTTGTACTGAATAACGTGCCCTTATTCCTTGAACTGAAATAAAGGATCTATTGGAACATGAATACCTTAAGTTCAAATAGAGAAAAATTAAAAAACTTCATACAGTTTTAAAAATAATTAAATTCAGTTAAATGAATTCAAGAAGGAGAATACTTCCATTTTGAAACACATTGTTCAGCACCTTGAAAGATATGATTAATTCAGGCCAAAATGTTCATGAACACCAAGTTGAACCAAACAGGTCAAGGAAAATCAGTTTGTGAAAGCTTCTTGGGCAATTCATCTAATCCATAAATCAAAAGTATATACTGGTGCAAATTAATATGTAAGTAACATGCAGTAACCATACTTGGTGGCCTATTATGAGGTTCTGAAAGTGATTTGAAACATATGATAGTTACGAAGAATTTCACAAATTTCTGCATGTCGAAACCACTGATGCTGGGCTTCAAATTGTAGTTGCTAAATCCATCACTGGCCGCTACAACCAAACAAAACCCATCCCGTTTGAGTCTCAGATTTGCGCCAGAGTTGGATGGGATACACTGATTTGAAACTATCTTGCCCTGTTAGATGTCATCTTGTCTCTGATTCCAATTGACCTCTGAAATATCTACATTTTGGGCTTTTACGGTGATAAATAGAAAAGCAGTGGTCAACAAAACAGGAATGATTTAGGGTTCATTATTTTGGAGTTTTTACGGTGTCGTTGGCAAAAAGAGGTTGATCATGATAATGGCTGATGAAGTTAATGGAGGATGAGATGCTCTGTGGGTGAGGAGGAATGAAACGTCTAAGGTTTTCTAAATGTTGCTTCTATAATTTTTCCTTTTTTTTTTAATTTATTAAATTTTATGTCATAATTTAATTATTTTTACGTAATAAAATATCCACCTCAACATATTTACAGTCATCACATTTTAATGCCATATGTGAAAACTTAACGGACTTAATTGGCTTAGTTTTTCAAATATTTGGACCAAATTGAACCTAATTGAGACAGTTGAAAAAACGAGGATCTACTTGAGATTCTCCAACAAATACGAAGACGATATGAGAGTTTAAACCTTTATTATAAATAAAAAAGATATAAAATATAATATTTCATGTAAACAACTTACTTTTCAATATTTTTAATCTATATCATTATATAAAGATGAATTTTCTTTTTAGTGTACATTTTTTTCAATTTTATTTTTTAAATAATAACTTTTTTAAAATTAAAATAATTATTTTATTAATTGTACCTTTTAAATTATTATTTTTTAAAATTTAATAATTTTTTATTTGACATTTTTTTAATCTAACTATTTCTTAAACTAAACTAACTATCTATAATATAAAAATCTACAAAATAAATAAAATCTATCACAACAAAATTTAAAAATTATTTATGTTTATTTTTATTCTTATAATAATAAAATAATTTTATTAAAAAAAGAAAGTGAACAGTGCACGTATTATAAGATAAATTATTTTATTTATTTTCTTATATCTTACCTTTTTTAAACTAAAGATCTAATATTTTCTCAATCTTTACATGGTTTTTTTTTACAACTTTGAACTTTATTATTATCTCAAATTCCATTATTTCTCTTTATGCATAAAAATTATAATTTTTGTAATCTTAAATTTAAGTTTTTTGAACAATATTTTAAATCTAAAAAAGAGAACATAAATGCAAATAATTTAAAAAAGGGTGTATTACAAAATATATAAAATTTAAAATTAATATATAAAACAATAAACTGATTAGAACAATTAAATTTTAACTAAATAAAATTAAATAACAACACAAAAGCAGGAAGACATTGCTCTCCTTTTACAAAAATTAAAATGGTTGGAAAGTAACACCTTTTAAGAATTTAAGTTAAATAAATGAACAGAATTGAATATAATTAAAATCTAAATCTCTCCAAGTAATCCAGAGTAATAACTGCTTACAGTCAACATGCTGACAGAGAAGAAAAAAACAAGTTGACCCTCTCCGTTTTTCCCGCCACACAATTTCCCTCCAAATACAAATCCTGCTAAACTAACCTAACTTTTCTCCTTCTTTCATGTGTTATTGTGTTGTTTTTGTTTTTTTATCACATTTTTTTAAATTGATTTCTTTAATTATTGAATTAGTAAGCATTTAATTATTTAAAATAAATTATAATGTCTTATTTTGGATACAATGAATACATTATAATATCAACTTAAATTCAGATAAATAATTAAAACTGAATAGCATAAACATGAATAAAAAAGTCACAATTAAAATGACGAACATTTAACTTGATACCCATCATCAGCCATCCCTCTCTTTACACTCTTCTAGACAGTTATAACTATATTCAAACATATAAATTTAGATTTAGATATATGTCACATAAATTTAATCAAATAAATAAAACTACAATCCTATAAATTGTTTATAACATTTTATGAAAATAATTTTATTCTAATAAGAGTAACAACTCCAGAAACAAATATAGTTACTACAGACATGTATTTACTTACTCCAATTAAAAAATAATTTAAAAAAAAAATCAAAATAATATCTTAAAAACAAACAACATTAAAAATAAATTTAAAATGAAGATTATGAAACTGATATATTTAAAAAAAGTTAATAGGATATGTCCTAATTTACAAGTTGGACAAAATTGACAAAAGAAAATATACTTTCCTCTATATATTTAATTTACAAAGCTTATTAGTGAACAAAATACAAAGTAAATCTATTATACCTTGTGTGAAAAACCTATTAGGAAGTGATGTTAGAGAAGCTGAACCAGATCACTAGTGTTCTATCTCACTGACGCAGATCCAATGAGGCGCCTTTACTCAGACACCCACCGCATCGTACTTCTCATCGACGTTTTGAGCCTCGGCGATCCCCACCAGACAAGACGATTGGTTTCGTTCCTGGAAACCCTAAATTCTTTTCCTCCTCTTTCCTCTTCCCTTTTTGCTTTCAAACTCTTCTTCTCTTCCCTCTCTCCTCTTCTCTCATTCTCCAAGCTCCAACCTTTTTTCCCCAATCCTTCCCTCTCCTTCGACCTCCCTTCCTCCGTCCTTCCGCACCTCTCCCACACCCTCTCCTCCCTCCCTTCCGCCCTCCACCACCCTCTCTCCACCGCCAATGCCCATCACCTCGCTCAATCTCTCTCCCAACTCCTGCACGACCACTCCTGGGACCACCCTTCCCCCCAAGCCGTCCCTCCCAATTTGATTCTCCTTTTCTCCCCTTCTTTTGTTTCATTCACTTCTATTGCATCTTTCCTGAACATCGATTCCAGCATCCTTGCAGATTCTACCTCATTTTTTGATACAGTCCCTTCCTTCTTCGCCAATGTAGCTCGCTCATTCACTGCCAGGAGCATTCACTGTACTTGGATTAGTGTTGATGGTGAAAATGTTGAGGCAAACCCTAGGGATGAGGCTAGGGAAGTGTCTTCTTTGCTTCGGACTGCGGTTGGGAGGCTCGGGTGGGGGTTTTGCTCTCTTGATTCGCTTCTTCTTGGTTCGGTTCTTGTTCAGTTTGGCCTGGTTTATCCCATGATTGGAGTTTCGTTGAGATGTGCTTCTAGGGATGTTAGTGTTGGTGGGCAGTTGAGGCTTTCGATCTTGGATGTGAATGGAAGTCCCATTGAGTACAATTGCTGTGATCTTGAGTTTGTTAATGTGAAGGGTGTTTGGGATTTGCCAGGCGGAGGGGGTGACAAAAGGGAGATGTTTTGGAAGCTGTGTTCGGGTGGAGGTGTGAAATTGGAGGTTAAGGTTGTGCAGAGGTGTGATGCCTTTGTTGAGACAGATGACTGGCTGTCTGATTCGGTTCTAGTGCGAGTGGATTCCAGAGGAATGAAGAAGAAAGAGAAGGTGGGTTTGGATGAATCTTTTGTTGATAGGGTTCTTGAGCTTGTTGCCACTGAGTTTGGTTGTGAGTGGCGACAAAAACAGGTGCCGGTGTGGGAATTACTGTTGAGTTTTCTGTATAAAGAAGATTGTTGGGCGTTGGTAGTTCTTTCCAATGACAAGGGTGAGTCATGTACAGGTATTCTGAAACCTTTTACTGTGCTTGCTGGTATTTTGTCTGTGTTAGGGAATTCACATGGGGCTAGTGGTTTTGGTGAAGCAAATGTTGGACAATATGTTAAGATGTTGGATCATGATGTTTGCAAACCTGATTCTAAATTCAATGAGGAACTGTCGAGTTCTCGAGATAAGAAGAGTAAGAAATGGATAGATTTTAGTGCACTGCAGGACTTCACGTGGAGCTCATTTTGTAAGTCAGCTATCGAACAATTAGATACTGATTTACTTGATGTTTATTGTGCCAAAGAAGGTAGCAAGTGTAAAAAGTTAAAATTTTTGAAATGCTGGATGAAGCAGATGAAGAAATCTGGTTGTTTGGATCCAGCTTTGTTAGAAAAGCTCAAGCCAAATCCAATAGTAGCTGAACTGAGTGGCAGTAAATTGGATGACTTGACTCAAAATGATGAACCACCAATGTCCTCATTTGCATCAGCTGAAATTAACTCGGAGCCCGAGGCTTTGAGAATACAGGAGGATGCGGAGTTAGACTTTAGGTCAGAAACATTTTTAAGTAATCTTGCTGACAGGATCAAATGCGGAATTGAATTAAAATTTGGAGACATGGGGGCTTTGGCAGAGGGACTGGTAAATTCTTGTATAAAGTGGCTACGTCAGAAGGTTGATAAAGAAACTGTTTCTCAGAGTCAGTCTCCTTTGAAAGATCAAAATACTTGTGATGGAATGATTGCATCTGAGCTGATTAAACTTCTATTAAGGGAGCCCAAGGAGATAGCTGCTGAGCATAAAAGCCAGAAACATGAAGAAACATATGTGATGCAATTTACTGCTCAGTATCCTTCAATTAAGTTTCCCTTTATTTATCTGATGCAATTTTTTTATTGTTCTAATCAGCTGTAATTTTAGAAACATATGTTCCGTGATTTTTGTTTTTTCCTTAGTGAACATTAGATATGAACTGCAGATTTTATTTCGAATGGAGATTTTACAATCAGAGGTAGGAAATGAAGTTGAAGATTCCTGCAAACAGAAGTTTGTAAAACAAATATGCCTGCTTTTAGAGCTCATTCAGTGTCACATGGGAGTATTCTTCGGTGATTGGACTCTTGAAAATTATGTGACAAAGATAATAAAAAACAGGTACAAGTTTATACACGAAAATGAGATGTTTTAGATTGATGTTGATCGATATTTCTTTTGAAAATAAAGTGCTTTTGCATAAGTTATTGAATTTTTAGAGTTAATGGCTTCTATTTAGAATATGAACAATAACTCAATTTATTTTTATTTGCTGCAAATGTGCTTATATGTTACTCTTTTATGCTTGCTTGCCAATATGCTTAGTGCCAGAGATGGAGTTGAAAATTTAACAAAAAAAGAAGAGATGAATTTGAAAATGATTTCTCTAAAGTTTCTGTATGGAAATAACACTACCTTTTCTGAGTTGTTGCAAATGCCTTTCTTATCCCCACCATATTTGTTCAAACTCCAAACCTGAAATAAGAAACACTTGTTATGAGTTTCTTTTCATTTATCTTTTTTCATGGAAAGAAATTAAATTCACATTGCATGAAATATTGAAAGATTGTTGGTTTATGAAAGTAAAATACCCAAAATGCAGGTATTCAGGCACTCTTGAAGATGTGGTTCAGAAAATATACTACGAAATGGACCTGCTGTTGTTTGCCGAGGAAGATGAAGAACCAGATAGTTTACTCAACAGTGAGGACAGCAACAAATCCTTTAACGGAAAAGCGTACAGAGATGTGGTATTTGAAAATGATGTCAGTGGAAGATTGCAAAGGATTGTAGATGACCGTGATAAGAAACTAATCGAAGCTAAAGAGAAGAGAGAGAGAGCTCTCAGGTTTTCATCTTTTACTAGTTCGATGCCTATTTTACGAAGAGTGAGGGCGCCAACTCGGAAGAGCGTGAAACCCAAGACAGATCTTCAAAGGGTGCGAAAAAGGAAGGAACGAGAAAAGGCAAACTATGGCACTGTATGTGAGACCCCAATGACAGTAAATAAACATTCAAACTCAAGGGCAAGGGGTTCTGATGATGACCGTGATCGGGCTGATGGAAGGAAACCATTTGGCTCAGTTTCTAAGGCATTGTTCAAGGATGATCTTTGATGTGAGTAAACCAAGCTTTTTCCATAGAGAAACTGTATATGCTAATCGGCAGAACAGAATAGCAGCATCGTCTGCGTTAAACAACAAAGGATGGAATGTAAATGGCCGAAGTTGGGGTTAAATTTGCCTTCTGTGTTCTTGTACCTAACAATCAACATATTCACATCATTACGATTTTCTTATTGTTAGAATATGTCAATTCGTCTGTAAATCCCACCGATAAAAAAGGCTTTTTTTTATTGTATCTGCCTATCACTAGGTGCCTTTGTTTAGTGATTAACCTCTGATCTGATGTAAGAACTTCTACATATATATACATGAATGAGGTGAATGATAAATCACTCTCTTAAGCTTTTTTTCTCATTGTTCATTCTCAAGTTGACCTCAGAGTGAGTTGATTCTGCTTTGTCTGTCTTTGTCTGGTGAAAATACTGTTTCTCACCTCCGTGTATATAAATAAGTGCATTGATTGTTTATCTTGACACGAGAGATTTCTGAATTCTTAATGCTTTGGCTTTTTTTAGCTTCGACTTGGGTAGATAATTTCTTCTCAGTGAATGCCTTGCTATGTGGGTGAAGCTTATTTTGTGCTATAATTATCTGTTTTTTTTTGTTAGAAATACAAATTACATGTTTCTGTTGTTATAGTCTGTGTTAGATTCAGACTGTTGCTGATGAAATCACATGTTGCAACTTTTTCTTCTAAATGGAGTTGGAATAAAAATTTGAAAGCTAGTGACCTTTACACCCTAGCAATGAGAAAATATTTTTATTTTGAGAAAAGTTGTAAGCAGATAGCATTTATGTTCCTTTGATTGTGTCCTCTATTGACATTCTTTGACAATAAAAATATAAGCCTGTTTTCTATTCTTTGCCTATAAAGATTTACTATGCTTTTGAATATTGATCAACCAACAACAATATGTCCAATAAGTCAATTAACTGGTTTGTGTAGATTGCATGTTTAGCCACAAATTTGTTGGGTTGTTCATATTCCATTTTCAGTTTACTGCTTCATTGGTTTTGCTTCATGTTTGCAATTGCTGGCTTTCCTTCAGGTTATATTGAGGCTGAAAGAAGTCTGGTGTTCTTTCTATCTTATTTGAATATTCAATGCAATTGGGTTTCCTGATCATTTGCCCCGATTCCCTTCAGGTAATCATTTTGGCATAGATAGGTGAATTGTGTATTCGTTAGCTACTAATAAATGGGCCTGATGGTGTATATAATTTCTGGAATTTGCTTTTTGATGAGCCTTTCATTTTTGGTTTCAATTCTTTATCATAAGCCCATGTTGATAATGATTACAAGTATACTATTAATTATAGTTGAAAATGGAAACTAAATTTTAGGGAATTCTTTTATAAATAAAACTGAAATAATCCAGCAAGGAAAAAAGTTCATGTGATTCTACACTCCTCCATCATGTGTGGTGTGGGGAATAGATATATCATACCTAGCTAGTTGGAAAGATCTTAGAAATCCCTTGGTTAATACTATGCTTGCCAGTTAAGACCATAACGGGTATATATTGTTGCTATACCGCCACTTATCAACTTCTTGGTAATGTGATGGTTAATATCTATGCTCTTTGTTCTGTCAAACTAGATTGGATTATTGGCAGTGATAATGATAGATTTATTATTGAAAAGAAGCTTCATAGAAGCTGCATAATTTAAAATTGGGAAGAACCTTCATCTATAATAGTTCACAAATCCGTCAGGCTATAGCCTGAAATGTCACCACAACACTTGGGTTTCACAGCTATCTTCTGTTTCTTACTCCTCCTGGTCACCAAGTTTCCACCCACGAATATACAAATCTTGAAGTGTATTTGCATAGTCTGTGTCAATGTATTCTTTCTCCTTTTAGACAGCAGCCCTTGTCCTAATCTTCCTTTCAGAGATTAAAGAAGTTTATTTTGTAACTGTCTCTTCCTCTTATCATGAGCAAATTGACTAATTATGATTATGTTGGGCAAAATAAATTAACTTTCCCACATTGTATTGGGAGATTCATGTCTTATGGTAATCATTCAACCTGTTCTATGTTTTTGTATGATAAAATAATCAGCTTCAAATGTTACTGAACATTTAAGAATCCCTCTTTGAAGATGATTTATATTAGGGTTATAGAAGGAGAGAATCACATATCAGATTGTGTAGTTACTAGTAAAAAATGACGTTTTAAACTCGGACATTATGACTCGGTTTTTATGGAACCGAAGCCTATCAAAACGCGGTGGCACTCTGGTAATTTTAAAAGCATTATATGCCTCGGTTATTAGACAACCGGTGTCTAAAAAAGATACTGATTCGGTTTCCAGAGTGAACCGAGACCTAATACTCACATACCAAATATACGGCCTCGGTTGGAAAATATAACCGAGGCATATTGGCTTCGACTGCGGGCCTTAAATCGAGATTTATCAAAACTTTTCCCCAAAATTCTCCTCCTCTTCCCCTCTTCTCTTCTCTTCTCCTGCTGCGACCACCTCTTCTTCTCTTCCTCTTCTTCTACAACGTCGACGACGGTGGACGCGAGGACGCAGCGAGGACGCGGCGGCAGCGAGGACGCGGCGGCGGCGAGGACGAGGCTGCGGCGAGGACGTGGCTGCGGCGAGGGGAGGGGCGGGGGATCTTGCGACGCCACGCTCTTCTCAGCAACCGGTAGCGGAAGACGGAGGATACCGGGCGGAGAGCTGCGGCGGAGCGCCCCGGAAGGGAGATCCGGTGCGGAGGCGGAGGCTCAGGGCGGAGTTAGGGATGAGTTCGACAGGTTGATCTTTGTTTTCTTTTTCTTCTTCTTCTTCTTTTCTTTGCTGTTGTTGCTGATGGAAGATTGTTTTGTCTTCGTTAAGGGGTGGCGGAGGTGAGGAGACGAAGAGGTCTTTGAGCTTGTGGCGGACGCGGGCCTCGGGGAGGGGCGGGGGATCTTGAGGCGGGGGATGGAATCGGCGTCGGGCGAGGAACATGCGGAGGGTCTTGCGGCGGCGCAGGTGGATTACAGGGGTGATTGTTGGACTGCGAGTGGGATCTGAGAGAGGAGAGGGAAAGAGATTGATTAGAACTGAGAAAGGAAAGGGAAGGGAAGAAGGCTTTGGACATTGATTTGGGTTTTCTTCTTTGTTTTACAGTTTTCTTCTGAGTATGGACTGATTGATTCTTGTTACAGTTTTCTTCTTTGTTTTAAATTTTTGAGCTGAAATTGGAAGAAATTTTGGGAGAATTCTTGGATTTGGATTTGTTTGGCATGAGAGAATGACTGAGAAATGAATGAACCGTGAATGAGCGTCAGTACGAAAAAATAAAAAAAAATACACTCTACTGCCTCGGTTATCTAAGAACCGAGGCATATTCTTGTCTAATTTTATCCCGGTCTATAACCGAGGCATAAAGTTTAATCTTTTTACCTCGCCGGTATATGCCTCGGTTGTAGAACCGGTGCCTAAAAGCAAAAGTAACCGGTGCAGTATTCTCTTAGGGTACTAGTGAGTGTTTCTGATTTTCAAAGGCTACAACTCTAGTTGTACCTCGCTCGGATCATGTTCCTCATGTTTTCCTCTTTTTAAATAGCACGATTATGGGAAAATATAGATACATATCACACCGTTAGAGTGTATTGGTTATTGTCTCTATATGCATTAATGCACATGAGTAATTACACGTGTAAATATGATAATTTTGTCCTAAAAGTGGTTAGTTAAGAGTAAATAAACATGTATTTCGTGTTATTGGTATGGTAGTGCGGTAAAAACAGGTTACTTGGTCAGATTCACCGCGGGTTGACTACTTAGTGAGTTAATTTCGACTTATTTATTAGGGAGTCAAAAAAATTCGAACTCGATCTGGTCCACCATGGGTTGGTGGGTTAAACGGGTCACTGATTTACTTAATCACAAGTTCTTTTTTTAATAAAAAAATTAAATTTTTTTTGTAATTCAAATTTAAATAATTTCACTCTAAATTTATAATATTTTGCTCTATTAAAATATCTTTTTCTTTATTCTCATTTATAATAAAAAAAATGTTAACTAATAATATTGAAACACAAAATAATAAATAACTCATCACAGATTCAACCTGGATGAGCAGGGTTCCAAGTAAGTCGAGTTGAAAATTAGTCCGTATAAAAAAATTTCATTTTTTTCAAACCCAATCCGATTTAAACATGTGGTTCTAACTCATTTTTATAGCACTAGCTATTGGCATGTGATTATTAGTATCATGTGTGGTTGTTGAAATGTCCGATGGTAGTTAACTATGTCTCACAAGTGAGTAAGAGTGTAATGAAGTTATTAAAATGTCCAATGGTTGGTACTTGTGCCTTAAAAGTGGTTCATATTGACCATATGTCTATATTTATAGATAATCTTACTCTTAACCACATACAAATCAAAGTTTACCATATTTACACTAACAGTGGCCGGAGTATGGCAGCCAGTGAGAAATCGGCCATGTCCATTTTTTAACAAAACTCAACAACTGTACAAACAAAAACTGAAGTAATGTATGTGTTCCAACATAAAGTCTTATGATTGTATTAAAATATTGACATCGTTGTGGGCTTTATATAACTTTTTTTTCTTGAAAAGTATGCTGAAATTCTTGCCCCTGTGCAAAATGAAGATTATGAGTTGTATTGTTGTTAACTCTGATATCCCTATTTTTTAATCAGCAAAGGTTAATGATTAATATTTTATTAGTAGAGAAAATCTTAACAGGAGAATTGAACTCACATCCTCTCTCATCTATATATACATAGCTTATCCATATGATTATCAAATTCCTGAGTTTACATAGATTTACAGAAACTTTGTAGAGTCAGACTTGTATGAGGCTATATCATATACAAAATTAAACATAATACTGTACTAATTCAAAATTTACATACCAATTAATCAAAAACAGGAAGCAATAGTTTCATAATTCTAAAACAATTAAGTTTAACACATAATTATTATATAAGTTCAAATTACACCAAATAATTATTATATAAGTTCAAATTACACCAAATACAAAAAGTTCATACCATCACAAAACATAAATTCTTAAAGCCATAATAATCAAATAACTAAAAGTGACTCCAATCCCCTAATGATATCATCTCCAAGATCATCATCTTCATCACCATCAAGCTCTTCTTATAAGTGTGCATCATCAAATATTGACATAAAAAACTACATTACCAAGA